CCCGTAGTGTTCAATAGTTAAGTGCATATCAGCCTGAATGTTGTTTACTGAAATTTGCATTGAGAAGATATTGAAGTTGTCTGGCAAGAGAAGTTGGGTTATTGAAAATGATGTGGTTAAGACCAAGGCTTCAGTGGATTACTAGCTGGTGTGGCATCATTGTATGGAGACAAGTGGCAATAAGGGAACAAGAGAGGTGTTGATGGTATTAAGATGGAGTTTAGATTAAAGAAGCTTCTTACTTTGCGCACTGCACATGCAAGTAGCAGCAAAGTGCATGTATTTTGCTCAGAAGAAAACACTTGTCATTTGCTATTAACTAGATCTACATAATTTCCACACTCTGTGTAATGTTCTCCCACACTCTCACATGCTCCCTGCATTGTCCAGTTTTCACTAGGCATAAATGGTGACATAAGGCATGACCTGTCCTCAAGCTGAGCTGTAAGCAATAGTGAGGGCCATCATCATAGAACATCATGCCTTTATCCATTCATTGATGTACATCTATTTGGTATTGGACAATCAGCATATATTTGTCTGTGTTACATGATTGAACATTGTAAGAAGCTTGTGAGAATGGTATGATCAAAGTTCTTCCTGGGCAGGTAACATGTCAATGCATTCAAACCAATCTTGGATCTCACAATACAGGAGTTCTGGCAAGTTAGTTTACCAAGTGCCTCGTATCAGGAGTTCTTCAAACATATGCATCATGTGGGTCATTTGCTTGTTCCTTGTCTGTTTAATTGATTATGTTATATAGCAAAATATGAAAGACCCAATTAATTAATATATTGGATATTGAATTTTCAGTGCACTGTAAGGTATCTTGCAGTATCTAACACAAGTACTTACATGGGAGACGATGGTATATGCCATCCTGGCCTAGAGCATAAATCTAGAGTATCAATATCAATTTCATGACTTAGGGTGGCTGGTTCATACTTAGTGTCAGTAAAGTGACACTTGAGTAAGGAAAATCAGAATGAACCAGAAAGCAGGGTGAGGTACTGTAGACAACAGAAGCATGGTAGGTCAAAGAGGTCTAGGTCCTCAAAATTGTATTGGCAGGAGGCATGCCTGGATCTGTGATGTTCTTTGTTAGAATTGGCACTTACAAAGAAGATTTGGTAGAGAATAGCGGTTTTGCTCCTGACAAGAGCTGGATGGGAATTTTTCGATGTTTGTACAATTTTGTTCCCAAGACCCATGGACATCAGAATCTGCAAGGGATGCCACTGGAATCCCACATAACAGCACATTGTTCCACATAATTGATGGTGGACAGCCATACAGGCAAAACCACTACAGAGATTGATGGTACCTGACGAGAAAAGAAATATTAGGAAGGCAACTTGACATCACCAATTATTTGCTCTTGAAATATAGTCAGGCAACAAGCGGTCACATTTCGGTGTACAAACAAGAGATGGAGATACATATACGGACTATTGAAGAGGATTGCTGCTGTCTACTCCTGAGCTACAAAAGGGTGTGTAATCTCCTCTGAGCCATTGACAGGACTGAGGAGGGTAATAGTGGGTCCCTAAAGGACTATGAGGTTTAGCAAGCGGGTGTGAGGTTCCAGCTCTGGGGACTTACGGTTTCTTTCCACCAATCATGATATGCTAGTGTTAAGGTTCCCATCCTAGTCGATATGTACATAATATCCATGGAGATACCACTGAGTAAATACACTGCATACCACATTGCATGTATTGTATATGCCACACATCATCATGAAAACAGAAGACACATAAAGATAATGAATAATAGGATAGCACTGATCCACCTAATGTGGGTTTCAGTGGAGGAGGTGAGGGAGGGGAGGAGAATGTTTACCTTGGTGGCGAATGGTCTTATCGAACATTCTGTGCTGCGTACTGTAGAAATATTTTTAAGCATTGGAAACTCAGGACAATCAATCCACAAACTTGTAAAAACATGATTGCACACAACACAATATTTGTCACACTATCAGCCATCCACCCATTCATATTGATTGGTGGTTTGTCGTGTTCCATCATCGTCGACGCAATAAGTAAGCATGATTGTTGTGGACAACCACTATGAAACTCTCAGTGTTGTCCTCAGTGACCTCATAGTTTATTGTCGATTTCACTGACATAAAGCAGTTAAATTCCACATGTCATGACGAAATAGGTAAGCATGGCATTCACTAACCAAATCTCAGTGTATTGATCGCTCATCTGAAAGTTCATCAATATCTGGAAATCTGAAAATGATGTATGTGATAAGTCTGGGTGCAGAACACGGGATATGACATGACCACAATACATAGGTGGTCAACATGCACGTCAGACAGCAAATCAGCATTTTATCCAATGGTTGGAATAAAATGATGTTTGATGCATTTGACATGTTTGATATGGCAGGTGGGAGCATCGACCAGATCAACGCTGATGAATACGACATTGAGTTTACATTGGAGAGCATGATAGAAACAAGGTGAAACCAGCAATGTGAGGCATTGTATAACAGGATACAAATGCTAGACTAAGATATTGAAATGTTTGGGCTATAGTACGCCTAGCTAAGGAGATCAAGGAGGAGGCAGCAAAGGCGGTTGATGAGTCCTTAGCATGGGACGACAATATTGGGACTGGTACAGATTTTGTGATGTGGTATATAATTGCTTAGGGGGAGAAGTGAACATGTAATTGTTTTTTTGTCTTGTTTTTTTGTTTTGTTTTTACATTAGATTTAGTGTGGTGGAGTTATTGACCCTATGTTGGACATGTTTTGTCATGTGCATCTTTCTCTTTATGGGACAAGGCAGGTGTATGTGCTGGCATTGTGTATGAAACTGACACCTACTGTGATTGTTTAATACTACTGAGATAGTATGCATCTAGCTTACTTATAAAAATACATATTGCCTCAAAATTGTTTGTTCACTGGTGACATTTCACCAATACTATATTCATACCTTCAGGAAGTAGCCATTGAAAAACAGAACAGAGAACCAGAGAACACATATAAACTCATTCCTACATGAGAAGAAGTAACAGCACAATACAAATAACTCCTCACAAGTGTTATAGCAAATGAATAGATACTCTGAGAAACAGAGGACACCACCTTAGTTCAGAAAGGGCTTATAAAGTAATAGGAAGTCAGCAATTGATCTATTGACTACAAGGGGCCGGTCTTATGGTACTTGTTAATAATGATAATTCTGAAGAACAGTTACCTCTGCATTATCATCTCAGATCAGTAAGAAATTTTACCTTCCAGAGCAGCAGTCATGTGCTTGACTGCTGAGACTTGGTGAAAGAAGACAACAACCCCAACTACACCTCAGCCTTAGGGCCAGATATTATACTCTGCTCTATCAAGTCCATAGGGAGAGCTGCTCCACCTATTACAATGCTAGCCAAAGCCAGACTCGCATCCTTGTATAAGGAGTTGTGTGGTAGACAGTTGGGACTAGCAAAACAGGCACCAATTCTATGAGATGATAGGACGGCCCCAACTCCAACTCCAACTCAGCCTTAAGGCCAGATACTCTGTCCTATAAAAGACAGAGGGGAAGCCATCCTGCCTACCACAACTCTGGCCAAAGCCAGACTTATATCCTCATATGAGGAGTTATATGATAGACAGTTGGGAGATGTGTAGAAAAAGGTCAATACCCCCAGAACCCATGAAGACATCAGTCCACTGAGATGAACATGCAAAACCAAGAGCCCACAGAAACCACAAAGGTGTCAGTTGACTTGGGAGGATGTGCAAAGCCAAGAAAGAAAACAGAATCAACAAAGGTGTCAGTCCACTTAGGAGGACATGCAAAGCCAAGAAAAAAAGAAAAAAGAAAAAAAGGTGTCAGTCTACTCAGGAGGGCATGCAAACCCAAGACAAAAAATAAAAGAAACAATGGTGTCAGTCCACTTAAGAGGACATGCAAATCTAGGAGAGAAGAGAACACAAAATAAAATTTGAAAAAGCACTCACTTGGGTACTACCCCGCTAGGGGCACCTTCCATTATGGGAAGATGGGCGCTAAGAGGTCAGAATAGAAAAGGAAATGTTATTTGAGGGAGGAATATGTGGAGAAATGGAAGAAGGAAATATGAGTAAATGAAGCTGTTCTTCCATTGAATGGAGGGACACGGTGGGTGGTTGGAAAGAGAGGAACAAAAAGGAAAGAAAGAATGAGGTGAACAAAAAATAAACCACAACCAAATACAAACAAATAAAACAAATACAAATCAACAAATGCAACACATCAGTGAAACACACCAAAGTCACAATGATCATGTGATCTGTAACCAAAGTACAGGACGTGCCTCAACAGTTGAGAACACCCTACTATTTAAATACAATTACATCAAATCAATGTATTAAATGACAGCGTGAATGAATATATCTGTAGGATCACAAGCACACTTACATATATATATATATGACATCACAAATATTAATATATCTATGTAGTTTCAAGAACCAATATGTGTACATTGATTGAGACAGCAGGTCTATTGATCTATTGAGATAAATTCAAGTACCACTAATTAGATGGAATTAAATATACATGTGCATATGTATAGCGCACAGGAAATTACAATGAAAGATCCAGTGTGGTTGCGGGTCAAAATGACAGTGGGCTGGTTAAAAATAAGAAAATTCAAGTGTACCACATGAATGCACCACAACAATGATGGGCATTGAAATCACAATGGGCAGGTGCGAAATAAAACAATAAAGTTTGAGGTGTGGTCTGTTCACAATGATTACACTGGTTTGGGCACAACAATGAGGTAAATCAGGCTCACAATTTGAGATGTGATGTGAAGTTCAATGCTCCATATTGTTCATTGTGTGTTGGACTTTATGGCCAGAAAGAAATTGCTAGCGGTGTCACCTATTCACATCCATGACCATTATGACTTTAGCCACTACTCCCCATCCAACATGCCCTTATTGAAAATAACCGCCAAAAAGTCCACTGCTTAAGAGGCTTTTCTCCTGGGATTATGCTTACTGTCCCTAACCAGGACTTTGTGACCACAACAACTCAGAACATGGAGATAGACCAGGATAGTTCTGAGCATAACAATGTGAGTATTCCGTCTTTCTACAAATGGCTCATCAAAAGACAATTCACATCACATAGTTTTGCATCATATGTCAGGATGGGTCCAATAGGCCAAACTTACTGATCTGTTGCAATGATTATCCGCAAATCACTTGTGTGAATTGCTTGGATATTCCAAGATTGTTCCAATGCACAGTCCAGGCTGAGAACATCATCTTCAGATGCCTCATGTGCCACATTGGATGGCAGAGAGACGACGAGAACCAAGAGCCATACTTCATGAGTAATTAACATAAGCTATCTTGGATTCTGATTGAATAGCATTGGTTGTACACGGTTTTTACAAGAGCAGGCTGTCGTCCTCTATGGTGCTTTTCCTGCATCTCAATATGGTCGATGATGATACTACCGGTGGACCTTTCAAACTAGCATATCAGTTCATTCAACTGTACTTTCCCTGAGTGGGGCTGCATTATGAAGAGGTGTTGTTTGACATTGCAATGCCCCAGAAGCTAACGGAGTATCTCAAAGACACATTCATATTGGTGCATGATCTTTAGAAACAGTGAATCTGGCCTCACATTGTCATTGTGATCACAAATCACACAGACAACGACAGTGGTGATCTGTTTACAGGTTATGTCAATGGAAAGTACATCTCCGCTGCAATAGATGAGGTAAGTACTATGAATGAGTCACACCTTAACTGCTGACTCATGTATTCTAGTTCCTCATGATCATCCTCAAGCTGTAGAAGCAATTGATCAGTGATACTGGGGAATCCTTCCTGTGGTTTTTCTCTTGCGGTGCTTTAATTAACAATGTGGATTCTTTCAACCTGCTGAGGAAATTTGTACTATTGTATATTCTTTCCTTGATTGACTTTCAATTATCAGTATCCAACAACTGACACCAACAACATCACTGTATCTCTGCAAGCATTGCTTTCATAGTACATCAGTTCCAGCCACATTTTTCTTACCACCTGCTACTTGTCTTCATGGAACTCATCCTCATCAAATGTGTCTCAATGATGTATGTGTTTGCTTACATGTTTGGCCAGTTCAACAAACTTAAACGCCACACAGATATTATTTTGATGCTGACCAATACACTCACCAAAGATATGAGTACGATGAAATATAGTTGGGCTAATGTAATAAGACATCCTAATGTTGGCCAATCACACTTACACCCCACTTTGGTAGGCCTTCTGCTTATAATATATAATGAAGCAGGTCAATCATGTAATGCCCATGAAAGATCAGAAGGATGTTAAACCTGGGTGTTCCTTTCCATTCATTACAACATTGTTTGAGGTGTACTGATGTTCACAGACAAACCCAACCATGTGCAGGACAACCAGGGAGAGCCACCAATGCAAACATACAGCAGGGTGCTATGAGTGGGCACAATGCTACTTCTAGTGAGTGAATTTCTCGACTCCTTTAAACAGCAATATATCCCACTATTATTGGATCCAGCAGATATGAATATGGAAGAAGACAATCATCCTGTATCTTCTGAACCATCTCATCAAAATGTGAAGGAGCCAAAGAGCACTACAGACCAGACTTCCCAGTGGGCCAGTGAGACATTCCTTGTTCAACTCAAGTTGTGTTTGAGATTATGTGAATACTTGAACTTTACAGATAAAGATGTGGAGAACATGACTTCTCCTCCTCCTAGTCCTCCTCCTCTTCCTCCACCACCACCTTAGGGGGATGAGGAAGATGGCCACATAAATGACTAAGACATCGATCTCAGTGAGCACAACTCATTATGGATTGTGGAACTAAACACCATTCTAAAACTCATTACCATCGCCTTTAGATGTTGAGATGACCGTCAAACATGACATTCTTAAGCAGGGCAAAACTATAGACCAACTGTGCAAATGACTGTGGCAAGAGTTCATGAGGCACAGGTTGATCGATCATTATAAAAACCAAATGAAGACCCTTCTTCTGTCACATTATGTGGTCCAAGTTGAGGTATACGCCAATAGCCTCAGACAGTGGAACATTAGGAATGGTGCTCTGCCTCATGAAGCCTAAAAAACTCTCATTCAGGGAATGCATCCACATTTATCTTCCACTGCTCCTGCTGTTCATAAGCCACTGCTGCTGCTGCTGCCTTCTGGGTGAAATCTTAATATTAGCGAGGAGCACGAAGCAGCCCTGCAATATGTTAAGGAGTTCCTGCAACACAGGTCTGTCGATGAGTACCAAGCACAGCTAGAGGCCCATTACTCATCCAACTATGATGCTGTTATTATGGAGCACATAGAATCTATGAGGGCTTTGGAAGGAATAAACGACTCCACCCCAGATACAGTGTTTCATGTCTTCATTCATGCCTTGATAGCTGTTGCAACAAGGCAAATGGCTAAACTGGCCTAGCACAATCTTTTGTGATGGCTTGTGCTCCTCAGCCCCGCATTCAACTGGTCGTCATGGACTCCTGAAGAGTACGTCAACTTATAATGTTCTGCTACAATACATATGCTTTTCTTGCGCACCTATCAATTTTTTGTTGTACATATACTAAAGGCAGCATGAGATATTTGTTGATCTCTTGTGTGGAAAGTATCAGTTCAAGTAAGCAGCCATATGACATTTAAATGAATCCTCATGGTTTGTCCCATGATGTGTAATAGCCTAGAGCAACACTTGGTCCACACAAACTAAAGAAGGGGTTCTAGTCTACAATGCAACACCATATGCTAATACACTGGCAGTTCTGGAGTGTTGCATTATGCAAGATTTGTTTTGAAATAATAATGATACAGTCAGCATTCTTACTATACATTTTGACACAGTAGAAATAAAAAAAATTGGATCAGTGGACAAATCCTGCACAAAAGTCTCTTAAAATTCTAATCTGCTATTCTTGTGGCATGACATTGACAGTCGAGATTATTGCTGGCCACAGGAAAACTGCCCACCCATCTTATAAGGCATGTTCATCACTTCTCAGATTCAGCATTATCTCAACAGAAATCACCATCCTCTGTTTTCAGGTACCATCTTCAGATCTGGAGGCTTGTGTGACTTTTTGCTCTGAGTGCAATTTGTATATGAAACCAGAACACGTCAAGTTATCAGCTTGTCATATCCCACATTCCGGACACGGACCTATCACACACATCATTTCCAGACATCCAGATCTGGCTGACTTCTATCTATATTCAGATCCGACCTGCATCTATCTTCTGTGCCTTATCCCTTTGTATATTCCTACTCCAGTTAGACTATAAATCATTTTCTGTACCTCGTTTCATTTCTGCCTTTATTTTCCTCTGTTCTCATTTCTGGCTTCATTTACTATTTTCCGACAGACTAGTGTTTGACTTTTCTATACACTCCGTCCACAGCCTCGCATAGCTTTGAACTGTGTGTCTTATTTCTCCAATAAGTCCTTAGTAGTATATAAACTCTGTAGAATCTCTGTACTTCCTTAGTTCAAATATTATCTTAGACTCTGCTCATTCCCTCCTCCATCCAACTTGAGTTCTCTCTTGTCGACCTCCGCTTGTCTTAGGATTGACTCCTATAGACTTGTCACCTCTGCCTCTACCTCTGGTAGTCCTCCATCATTTCCTTTCTAGTTTGGATAACATCTGGATTAGTCTTATCACCCGTTCCTGAACATCTGTCAGTTTTCCCGCACATCAGACATCGGACTCCGGACATCAACCAACAACCTCCGGACATCGTCCAGCAGCCTTCGGACATTGTTCAACAGCCTTCGGAAGTTGGGGGCACGTACTTAGGTAAGGGGCGCAGCACACGAGCTGAAGCCAAGCCCTTCAGATTCAATCCTTGAGCACATTCTTAACACAGCTCCTGGAGGACCACCTGTGCAGCTGATAATGAAACCAAGTGAAGGTCTGGCCTGTACAGCATCGGTTGAATGTACTTATTGCGTGAAAGATCTGGAGACAATGCAAAACCATGGTAGGAAAAAACATGCCTACAGCATTTTGGGAGAGGTCCTGTACTGTTCTTACCTTATGCAGCATATCTTTACTGGGATAAGAAACTCATATCTTAAGATCAGCCAGAACATAGTACCAGGCATTCAACCCAACTTGAAAGCCACTCTTCAGGCCAAGTTCTTACCTGCTCATGATGTACTCCTGGTTATTGCTCCTGATACTGAACAAGAGCGGACTCCCCTTGTTCAATGCATGGGTTGGGTCAAGTTCATGCCTAACATCTGCATGAATCCAGTTCAGAGACAGGCAGTGGATGCAATCAAGAAAAAACATTCTCCAGAGGAGCATGGTGGTCTTTTATCTCGTCTTGCTGGAGCCATCTAAGACCACATGACCAAAGCATCAAGGATCTTGGATTATCACCCTCACAAGTTAACACTTTTAAATGTCCTGTTGTACGGCAACACCATACCTCAAGACCAGTGAGGAGTCTTATATTAGCTCTTTTTGACTCACAATTGACAGCCACGGAATTCTTAGGAACAATCATTGGAGGCCTGTGTCAGATGGCAACCAAGAATATCCCAACTTTATGATACAGTTGATCCACAATATCATTCAAATTCACCTTGGATTCCCCCCATTGCAATTCTCATTTGCACTTTCACCTCAGCAGACAACTTGTCTTTGGTCAACACAGACCCAGCCCTATGTGTCACTGATCATTGGGCAAACTCAATTCAGAGAGCTGTCTGGTTGAGGGCTCTCTGTGTAGATGGAAATTTCACCGAAGCTGCCTATTTTACCCCAGACCTCGCAAAGCTCAAGTACCTTTGCAATGTGACCTCCCTCCTCGAAGTCCTCTTGGATAAAGACAAAGATACTGACTCTGTTCATGCTGACAATTATGAGTGAGCTTGCCTTCCAATTAATTTTGGCTCTGCTGACTGATGTTGTTCTTGCACTGCACTAAAGTTGTGTTGCTCAAATTCATGAGTGTGTCCTATGTCTCAGTCCTCGCACCACCTTTAACTTCATCTACGAGATGCAGCAGTATGCATCCTCACTCGCCTTTAATCAGGTGAAGGAACCAAATGTCCATGTTGATGCTGACATCAAATCCATCATCATTAGCACCCAAACCATGGAGATGGATAAACTGCAAGAAGGCATACAGGTGATCCTGCATGACTTCAAACAGCGCTGTTCTGCCCTCATGGACGAAAACATTGTGTTGAAGCATATGCCAGATCATGTCAAGTATGCCAAAACTATTGCTGCTGGCCTTCGATACCACAACTACTCCCACTCCAAAGACATGCCAGACAACATTCAGGTTTTTTTCATTCAGGTGGAACATTGTTCGTCCAATATATTTGCTAGGTACAAAAAACTGTATCACCTTCTACAGCTACACATCTGTCTTTGACAGTCTCCTGACCTCCCTCCTTGGACGAAAATTCAAGAGGGTCTTTATGGACGAATTTCACAACATCATCAATTGCCATCCCAATTATACCGGCAAATAGAAAGTTTTGGCTAAGCAATTTGGTAACATCAGTATGCAGATCATCCTCTTGTCGGCCACCATACCACCTCACCATCTGAAGCTCTTCATTAAGCCATTTGGCCTCAAGGCCAAGGACATCACCTAGATCAGGTCATTGACAAACCATTCAGAGATCAGAATCCATGTAGTCCCTGTCCATCCCATGGCAGCATATTAATCATTGGGCCACCTGGTTTCTGCTTTGAAAGGACATCTGGTTGATGAAGAACAGATGCTCATATTTTTCTACTCACAAAGCAACACAGAACACTTCACAACTCAACACAAGTGTGCAGTCTATCATAGCAACCTGTGGGAGCCTGAAAATACTAAAGCTTACAATCTCGACTTGTGAGACAGGAGAGAGTGGAAGATAATGGTCTACACCATAGATTTTGCCCAGGGCATAGATAGATCCAATGTCCAATTTCTGGTGATCTTTAGGCCACCATATGGACTCATAGTCAACAACCAGATGATGGGTCACACAGGTTGAGATAGAAAAGAATCTCATGTTTTCTTTGTCACTGACAAGAATACTATTGTAACCTTCTGTAGAGTGAGGACAGGGCAGGAGAACTGTCTGGAAGAGTTGTATGATGTAGTCTATGGTGAAGAATATTAATAATACTTCACTATAATTTGCATGGATGGCATAGATTTTGCAATCTGTTTCACTGAACAGCCTGACAGCATCCCTTGTGATATGTGTTCTTCTGACAGCCGCATGTAACAATTTGCCATGGAGGCCATTCAGGCTCCTTTGCAACCTATTTCTGTGCAGGACAGTTTCTCCAACAACCATGTCAATGTCTTGCAGACCTCCCCTCTTGCATTTGTACAAGTATTGGTGTTACATCAGACCTTCAAGGCTGTCATTGTAAATTTAACACTCAGTATCTCCTTGTCTTACATTGTATTCATCATGCCATACAGGAGCCTACACCTGCACCTGTTTAATTATCATTCAAAGGCAGTAGTGAGATGTATTACGACTCCAACTTGCAGATAACCTCATCTTAAGCTCTGATTCTTGATACCATGGAGGTCATTCACAAGCCTGTCAGTTGCACACTTAAACAGAACTCTGCTAAAGCTGATGGTCTACATTGTATAGCAGGCCTCCAAGTAAGAGAATAATAACCCCTTTATGGTATGACTCTATTTTATCTGCTGTCTGACCTGTCATCACTAATGTGTTTGTTTCACAGGCTGTATCTCGATCATGCCAATCCACTTCCTCCAGAGTAGTGTTGCTGTCTTCTTCATTCCTTCCCTCTGATTCGAGAGCCTTTGCAGATAGAGCAGGTTGAGTGAATCAAGCATCCTTGAGTCATCTTGCAGAGATCTCTTGCCTCAACAAGTACATACAGGTCTTGAAAGACCATTGCCTCCTTTACTTTGGAATGACCGCAAAGCTCGTCTTAGATGCTAACAACACCAATTGCCTTACACGAACTCCATGCCTATACATGAGTACTATGTCTTCAAAAAAATATTCACCTTTGCTCCCTTCACCTACTGCTTTCAATGCTGTTTGCCCCAGTCCAAAAACTATAATGGTGAGCAACCAGTTTTCATGTCAATCATGTCCAGGGACCGCCTCCACAATTCTAGGCCTAAGTAATAACAGAGCACCTGAGATCCAGGTCAACAAAAGAAAACAGGAAGAGTCAGCCTAGGCCCACCTCCAAGGTATCCTGAGTCCAGGCATTTCCATGTTTGTCAACACTGTAGACCAGCTTACTGTTCTCATAATCTGCATGTGTGTTTAACAGAACTAACAAATTAGTCTCTCTTCTGGCCTTTACAAAGGCCAGGGCATTGTGGACACAGGTACAGATATTAGGCAGGCAGGCAGGCAGCTCCAGTGACCAGTTCAATGGTGATACACTGCAACTGACATATATTTGATGTCAGTCATACATCAGCTTAGGTTAAGTGAAATAATACTTACCATGTTTTTGCAAGGCGAAAATTCTGCCTCCAACTGACAGCACAACAGAAGCTCCAAGTATTCACCAAGTTTTAAGGCAATAGTGTGAAACACCAGTAGGTGGGTGTGACTTCAGACAGTGGAGTAGACACCTTATGCAATCACTCAGTACTGTCAACAAATCAGAGTCACCTGCAAGCCCAGGATTCAGTTGTAACTGACTCACTGGCAGTATATTGGAACACCTGTGGCTCCAATATGGGGGACACCAAAATTCACCCGGGCCTAGATTGCTGACACAGGGGTGCAAATTTGACTTCGTGAAGTACAGGACATAAGGACAACCAGGATAGGCATATTCCTTCAACTCTCTAAAATCAGAGCAGTTGCTGCATTTAGTCATGGTTCCATCATCTTACATCAGTGAAAACACCCCCAGTGCCAGTGACTCAGACATGGAATGAGCTGCCCACAAGCTGGGAGGTCAAACTGCGGCCAACTAGATCTTGCCAGGTAAACAAGACACCCACCAGGCAACTCCTCTGCCCACCATTGCATCAGCATATAGGGGAACAACCGAAATATGACGATATCAAAACCTACCTCCAGTGTCAATGGCCTGACTTTGGCCATAAACAACGCACTGATTCCATGGAGACACAAGATAATTCATGTCAATATCTAATGAAGGAAGCATTAGCCACAGGTGTAATCAAGTCAAATCATTCTCTGCAGCCTACCCATTGCATCATCAGTATCTAGGAGAAAAGAATTGGTGAGTATTCCTGGTATTCACAGCAATCTGGACTGACTACATAATATTAGACGTGACCTGCCTTTCAAAGCCTAGCCCAGGGCCACAAGTAACTATTCTGTGGTGCCACCTCTAGTACCACCTCTTCCTCCTCTCCTGCCCCTTCCACCTTGTGCAACAGTGGATATTGCAGCTGTAGTCCTGTCACTGTGCCTCCCTGCTCTCCCACTGTCATCCTTATCATTATCACCTTCTTCTTCTTCTTTTTCTTTTTCCTCATTGCAGTCTTTGTCATTGTGATTATGGTCACTGGCTCCACTGTCATCTCTGTTATCATTGTCATCATCCTTCTCCTCCTGATCTTGGGCCTAGTCATTGACTGCATTGACATGAGCAGAGCTGGAGCATATGACATGGGAAGTGATTGCACTGGGACCACTGGGACCTGCATTGTTGAATGCTGTGCCTATGTTGATCCTATGACCATCTCCAGCATTAGTGCCAGGTGCAGGCTACCATTCCATCAGATCCACCATGATTCTGAACTTCTGTGGGATGATCAGGGTAATACTGAGGTTCACTTACACACTATTTGTAATGGTTATGGTTAACATTAAGGCATCCAGTAGTCTAGATCATTTTCAAAATATCTAAGTTCCAAGTTCTCAAAACTGTAAGCAATGAAATTATAATTATTTTCAACAACTAAATATAGCATATTTCTTCAATGTTGTTGTTTGGAAAAAATTGCCATTATTTCATTGAGAATCATGATGCTGCTCAGATCTAAGTTACAAGCTCAACTTATTAAAAACATGCTCAAGGGTTGGATCCAAAGGGCTTGGCTTCAGCTCATGCGCTGTGCCTCTTACCCGAGTATGTGCCCCTAACTTCCGAAGGTGTTAGATGATGTCCAATGCACAGGAATTCTGGTGGATGTTCGGGAACAAGCGATAAGACTATCCGGACGATGTCCGAACTAGAAAGAAAACAGTGGAGGACTACCAGAGGTAGAGGTGAAGGTGAGAAGTTTATAGGAGTTGATCTTAAGATTGATGGAGGATGATGAGAGGAGTGACTCAAGTTGGACAGAGGAGGGAATGAGCAGAGTCTAAGATAATATTCGAACTAAGGAACCACAGAGAATCTACAGGGTTTATATACTACTGAGGACTTAACGGAGAATCAGTCAGTGCAGTGCAAGGCTATGTGAGGCTATGGACAGAGCATATGGAACACTTAATACTAGTCTATCGGAAGAATTTAAATGAAGATGGAAATGAAGAAGTGATGGAAATTAAGTACAGCCAGTTATGGGTATAACCAGATATCCAGAGACAGGGGCCAACTGAGAAGTTTGAGAAGTTGTTAAAGTAACAAGGCAGTGCGAAAACCGCCTGACTCCCCAACTACGAGATTGTGCCAAGAATAGAGTTCTGAGAAGCCATGTGGGTGACTTTGGAGAATGAATTAGAGTTTTGAGAAGCCATATAGATGATTTATGGTTGTCATTTAGAGATTTTAGAACAAACCCTGACTTCTGGGTTATCATGTGGATATTTTATACAAAAATGATTCAATTTAGCATCGTCTCCTCTGGGCCATCATGGGTATCCTTAACATTGCATAAAATAGGGTCACAACTAGAATTCTGTAAACAGTTTTAAGCAGATCACAAGTTCTTTTCTGTCAATAAGGTCTCCCAGATGCATTAGACTCTGAAATTTCCAGTGTTTATCCAAGCCAAACCAATAGACCGAAATTTCCATTACTATATCCTTCCAGATATATTTCATGATCACTCTGGAAATTGTGAGTGCAGGTTTGGTAGTGTTCCTTAGCATTTTCTTCTTGTTGGTGCCAACAGCTACATATTTATGAGAATATATGACCATGGTGCATAGAGCAATGAGAGGCCTGGTAAATAATTCTGGTGATAGTAGTGAGACGATTGACACATGAAATATCACAGTGCATCACTTACTGGTGCAGCAAGATGCACGCAGCAGATAAATCACTATTCGCTCTAGTATTTCCAGGAAGTGTGCATGAACTTGATTTGTGAGGAAATGTCCGTTCTTTGCATCAATATAACAAGATAGCTCACTGTGATGCAAAAATTCCAGGTTCAGACAGCGGGCTCCTTTGGTGAATGACTCTGTAGGTGTATACACTGCATGATATTGTCCAAGTGATTATATACTGGTAGAGTGAGCCCTTAATGCTGATAGTACAGGCATACAATCTGATCAACTCACAATAAATCCCCCTCTTGAAGAGTGACCACCTCCATGTACCAATTAGCCTCATTTTCTGTTCAGTTGGCCAAAAGGTTTGTCAGCAGTAGGGAATGTTTGGTGGATTTAGTGCAAGAAACATTTGGATTTCTGAGGAAGGCCGGAATCCATTTTTTTTGCCCAGTACCAATTGCATAAAGGTGACTTCTCTGTCAGAATCATGGTGGAAAATAAGTCATAGTCTGATTTCATCCATGCACTATGCCATGATCAAGTTGCCTACAGGAAACTAAAGTTTAAAGAGTTCATGAAGAGAAAAAAGATGATTTTCCACAAAAAAATATTCTGTGTATATTTGAAAAACACAGAGAAGAAAATTAACATTATTTTAAGCTATTATTTCAAAGACAATACATGGAAAATACAACATTATCCTTAAAGGAACATGACCAATTTTTGCATAATGTTCCACACAGTGAAAAAATAAATTACTTTTTTCAATGTTTTGATAGAAAAAATGAGGGGAAATTTCTATCTTCTCAATCAATGTTTTTTGGATGTTTGGTAGAGAAGAATGGGAAAATGCCTGCAGTGAAAAAGACTGACTATGTATAGATATACACATAAACTGGAAGAACTCCTGATCTTCCAAGTAGTCTAAATTAAGTGGTGCTGCCTGAGGTGTTTATACCACTCAAATAATGATGCATTTGCCTTCACAAAGTGTCTTAGAGATAATATTGCACAACTGTGCTGGTCAGGATATCTAATTAGAGTGACGTATGTGAATGATGTATGATGACCGCTCTGGATTGGATTCTGGAAGTTCAGAAAAATACTATACAGTATCTACATCTTCTTAGCATATATTTGAGCCATCCTTCTAGATACATGGCAGTACAGTGGTGAATCTATTAGACCATTTTACAGTCTCCAAATATACTAATACTTTAACACCAATGATATCAGTTGCAACATCCTTAACATTGATTGGTGGTATCAAAAGGGTTGAAGGGACTGTGGGATTGTTTTGAGAGTGGAATAGGTCAGTGTAGGGAAATTCTATTATGACCGCCACATTATAGGTTAAAGGGAGAAGATCTGTGGCCACAGAGATATGACTGAACAGATGTGATTGTGCTGGAGGATTAACCAGGAGGATTACATGATCAGGAGTAAGGTCAGATGGACCTGCAATACTTTGACCCTCGTAAATGTTAGGGGGACCACTGGTGTCAAGTGAGACATCGGATGAAGACCTTAGCATCAGATGTAGAGGACCTACATTGCATATTGTAGCCCAGTATCTCTTGGCAGAAGGTTCTTCACCGCCAGTGGCATTTCCAGATAAAAACCCTGATGCACCCTGAGAGTGTGATGGATCAGTATTTAGTGTTACCGCATGGAGGCGCAGCTGTTGGAGCTCCTATTGTGCAAGCTTCTGTCTCACATACAATATTTGTTTGTGCTTGTTCTGTTGTAACCTAAGTCACTCGGCTTCAGCAGGGTCCTGTTTCCTGAATTGGTGTTAAGTTCTTTTGGTTTATGCAGCTTTGGTTTGGGAGGGTGCAGTGGTTTGATTCTGCATTAAGTATGGGCTGCGGATTAACTATAAGTTACATAACTATCAAGTGGCAGAAGTAGACCATGAGTTGGTGTTTGAGTGGTTGAATCCAAGGTCACCTTTTACTAATCTTTTGAGTAGTCTTCTGGCAGACAGTTAATACATAAATTGCATACTATATAGTGTACAACCACTGGTTGACACACCAAATCTAAACAGCCCTATCATGCACCACACATTTCAAAAATCACTGTTTAAAAATGCTAGAATAACAAAGAATACTATAAATCATATAATAGCCTACTATATTCTTTTTTGATCATGATATAGTATATGAGAGTCTAAGTTAAATGGCCAGGCAGGAATGTCACACAAAACCACTTCTTGACACACCTATGATGTGCATGTGGATGCTAACAAGAATATATAGATGACAACATATCTTCCTCCAGTCTCTCCAAAGGTCCTTTTATCATCACTTTTTAATACTCTCTGGTGGCTCTCCACTCCATGACAGCTGGCAGGCACTTTTTTAGGTTACTGGACTTGAAAAAAGCTCAACAACATCTTGTACTATTAGTGATGATTGCATATATTCTAGAGTCTATATTGTGTATATACAATGATCTATCTGATCTGTATTCCTGTTGGCAAGATACAAGAGTTCAATAATTGCGACTGCTGTCTCCAATGGGATCTAAGCATACCTTGTTGACCAAACTTATCAGGAGTTCATTGGAGCTCAGCTCTTATCGAATAGCCTTTGAATACCTGAATGGTTAGTGTTATGTAGAATAGGTGAATGTAATTGGGTCAATTTTCCTGAGTGCTGTACTTTAAGCATTATGACATAATGGCAACTATGTTAACATAATATTGAAGCAACCATATTGGTGATGCTGTGACTGGCCTGGCACTGATCTATATACTGAAAATACCACATTCATCAAGTATAACCCAGCCTTTAGCTCTGGTAATGTCTTACTGGATGTTGGTGGTATTGATCCTCAGTTCTCACATTCTTTGGCACAGGATTCTTATAGATGTATTGACTGAGTGATCTATGACTATCCTGCCCCCTTAGCTGCTGACCTCCTAGACAGTCCAATACTTTGCAGCTTTGTCTTTCATGAACAATCCGGCCATCTGGATACAAAGTGACTGGGCTTTGTTCCAGTAAGGCTTTATGAAAAGGTTTGGATGTTGAAGGCTGTTAGTGTTTCTAGACTGATTCCGGTAATCAATAAGCTATTATTTTGGCTTAGAATCTGACACAGAGGAATGGTCGTGGATTTTATGAAGTTTGAAATCTTTTGAGATATATTGATCTCATCAAATCCTAACTTTAGACATACATTTCAACAATATCACTCCATCTGAGGTAGTCTAGACCTTATGGTGGATCCCAGGCAAGTGGTTGATGTCTGGTTACCATATTTAAATTATTGAAAATCAGAATACGTGAGCAAGTGGGTGGTTTAGACAGCCTGACTTGGCTGCAGAACTACCTATCCTGCCTACAGATGCTGGAGTCAATTGTGCCAGTATGGCCTCCATCTAAAAAGATACTATGTGTTTCCATGAAATTCAATGTAATTATCGACCTTGACCAAATTGCATCCAGGATGGTCAACTCCCCAAGACCCCTGACCACATGCCTTTCTTGCACTGATTTCTCACAATTCTTTGAAGGCTGGATTCTCAAGCATAAAGGTGGTGACTGCAACTGTCATGTTTTCTTACTGGAACAAGTAGATCCATTGAATCTGTCACCAGACCATAGTCATTTCAGGTGGTTAAAGCAATTCTCTCTGAATAACACTAGACCAATCAAGCCTTCCTCCAAAGTATGATGCAGCCATTGATTTCTTCTGTCAATATTATAGACCTCAATGATTACTGGAAGAAAGCGGGTGTCACTGCAGGCATTTTCCCATTTTCCTCCACCAAACATCCAAAAAACATTGATTAAGAAGATAGAAATTTCCCCTCATTTTTCCTGTCAAAACATTAAAAAAAGTAATTTATGTTACAATAATGTTCTGTGTGTGGGACATGATGCAAAAATTAATCATGATACTTCAAGGATAATGCTGTATTTTGTATGTATTGTCTTTGAAATAACAGCTTAAAATAATGTTAATTTTCTTGTCTGTATTTTTCAAATATACACAGAATATTTGAAGAACACAGAGAAGAAAATTAATATTATTTCAAGCTCTTATTTCAAAGATAATAGATAAGAAATACAGCATTACTCTTGAAGGAACATGGTTGATTTTTGCATCATGTCCCATACACAAAACATTAGTGAAACATGAATTACTTTTTTTCAATGTTTTGATAGGAAAAATGAGGGGAAATTTCAATCTTCTCAATCAATGTTTTTTGGATGTTTGGTGGAGGAAAATGGGAAAATGCTTGCAGTGTGTGATGCCCAGAGAATAACACCCAGAATTCTATCACTACAGAGCCTACAATCAATCAATGGATAATTTTCTAGTGTTATGCTCATACTATCACATCATTTACATTCTAGCTTCCTCCAAACTGCACTGCTGATTTTTGCAACATGCAATGTATGCATTGTAATACTTGTCAGTTGGCGAACACTTTGATGACCAGACCAGAGAAAATTTTCATGGAGTGTCCATGTATTTGCATCATCTGCACAAGGCCTTTTTTGATGAGGTCTAGGACAAATTCTATTCCTCCACTAATGATGGCCATCCTATGGATGATGACCAGCCTATGGATGATGACCAACCTACAGACAATGATCTGCACCAGGAAATGCCCACATGTAACAAAATGATGTGTTTGTGCTTCTATTTACTCAATAAGCCTCTGGATACAGTCTGATCCCAAAAATCCTAGCTCTCAGCAGCCCTCTAATTAATTTCCAAACCACAAGAAACACAAGAGAAAGGACAAAGCAAAGTCCATCAAGTCCATGGCATCATCTAGGTGGGGATCACAGGTGGGCAATATTATTCCAGTATTTTATTTCCTCTGAACCACTACAGTAAGGTCAGCTTGCATCGCCAAATGTCTCAGGGTCTGGACCTGGACTGTTATCTGATAGAATGAAAATGCTACATTCGCACTCCATGAGGTGACTATACTTCCCAAAATACTCTGGGAAGATGTGTTGACCCCTCAGATTATGGCCAATGGGTCTATAGAAGAATACACCTCTGAGATATCACAGTGGGAGCAAATGGGAGATCAGAGTTGGACAGATTTCCAGGACAGAGTGACAATGAGGCCATAGTGACAGCTGAGTTTTAGATTACTGGGTCATATAACACCCACATGCATGTGGTGATGAATATTTTGTGGTACACCAATCAGCTTAGGAGGAAAATACCAGGAATTTAAGACCTTCAGTTGAACAGCACCAAATCATTGTCTGCCCATACTTCACCCTTCTAGTTGTATCTTTCTAAATAGAATTAGGTGGTTCACACATTTTCATATTACCAAATCTGAATGCCAGAATCACTGTATTATCAAGGCAGCAATTCAACCTTAGTATAAATCCACAACATGCTGGAGGATCTCATATATTTCTAAAAAGTTGAATGATAAGTTTGTCTTCTTGTAACTGATATCTCCAGGCAGATTGAAAAAGTTGTTTAATTTTGTCTGACCTCTTTGTTTTCTAGACATGCTGGATGAGACATTCTTCCATGGATGTGATAAAGGATGGTAAAATGCAGGGTGTGAGACTTCAGAAGCCATTGTGATCCATCTTATTTGACTAGGACTTTTGATTTGTCATTGTGTCTGATTGTTGTCAGCCACACTAACTTACTTATAAGTTTTGGCCTGACTTGTCCCACTAGCCTGGTGAACCATGACCATTAGTTCAAGTATTGCTATTGATTTAGCAATACAAAAGATATTAGACATTGAGTCATTGTGGTGAATAGTAAATGATCTGTATAACATAGTAGATACCTGGAGTGCTATTTATGTCAAAAAGCCACAAGGGTTTGGTCCAGGATGCTAGTAAACTGTGAAGACAGGTGGGCTAATGTAATGGTCAATGGAACACATTGTGTATAAATTTCAGCCCTCAAAAATAATATGTTGACTGTGTTTTAGACCAAGAAATCATTGAAATTAACTAGGTCAAAGATGTTTGCTATTAATAGTGAGCAAGGGAGGGGTGGATGCGATGAAATAAGGGTGGACTTAAGTGGCGAAGAATTAGGAAGTGGTATATAGCAGTATGAAGCAAGATGGACTACATTTATGTAGATATCATTTTATATTTATGGGAATGCTCTGAACTTACATGGAATATAACTTTGCAGACAATAATGAAAGATATCAGGGAGGCACTCCTTCCCAAAGGTGTCCCACCTTTCTGGTGGCAACATGGTGACATGAACAAAAGAGTTGAAGAAAAAGATCAAGAATCAAGGTCTCAGGATATACCTTAAGGAGGCATCCTCCCAAGGATGTCCCACTGGATATGAGACAGCGCAATGATATAGACAGAAAGCTGAAGAAAAGGCATAAGAATTAAGGTCTCAGGAGATACCTCAAGAAGGCACTCTCCCAAGAATGTCTCCCTTTGGGTTTAACTGCAGGTATTGGATTTTGGATTTTGACTGAAAAGAACTTATGATCTGCTTAAAACTATTTACAGTATTCTAGTGTTGACTTTATTGTATGCAATGTTAAGGATACCATCAATTTTTTAATGTTTTTCTGACTACGGCCTGGGTGATCTTTGAAAATATTCAAGTGATTGACCTTTGGACTGACTTGCTACTTGGATGATGGACTGACTCTTATGAACTTTGGACTGATATACCAGAATATAGATTGGCAGGAAAACTAGTGTGAACTTTGGACTGACCCTAATGTACCTTGCTCAGGCCAAAATTCTGAGCTTCTGAACAGTACCATCAGATCATTTTATTGGTTGAATATAGAAAAGGTGATACTCATACTACTTTAGAATATGTCTCAAGCAGTGGGTGTATCTTGAGCACATACTTAGTTGTGCACTGAATTGTGTCCAGACTTGTGAGTTTGCCCAGGTGGTATTAACTAGATCATGGAGTTGTTAACAAATAGGTCAGACGGGGATATGAGATCCAAAGTACCTGGTAAAGTAGATAAAAGTAGGGTGAGTTGGGTCAAAGGTAACAACAGTGTTGTATCTTGCATATGGAGCCTGAATGGTACCTGCCCGACATAAGGCATAGCACGTTTATTTAACAAACTCAATGACCCTCAAATATGATAAGAGTAAGCAAGCTTAAGGCTCCAAAATTCCGTAGACTATCAAGGGATAGAATAACAGCATGGATGGTCAAAGACTACTGGATAGAAGGTTGCCTCCAGATAAGAAGCAGCTAATCAAGCACGCTAAGTTGGCCATGGATAAGTTAAACACCACATAAACTTGGGATATCCTCTCACATGGGAAGCTGAGATAAAGCTCTAATTATAGATGAAGGCAAGGCTGAGGCTCCAATTGTGGATAGAGGCTGGGCTGAGCCTCCTAACTGGTCACAGGCCCATGTGACAACACAATCCATGTGCACAAAGTCTACTTGCTGTTGGACTTGCCAAATTTTATGCAAAATGGTTAAATCTATGCTATGCTACCGGTCAGAAGAATCCCTACATGACAATGATATCAAGTGAGCATGGAGATCACCTAGATCAAAGTTTCCAATTATCTCATATGCGTTCACAAGCATAAGACCTCAACTCCTGGGTAATTGCTTCCATCAAGAACACCACAGCATCCTATATCTGCCTCAAATAGATGAAAGGTCAATTTCACAGAACTGAAGACTTTGTCTGACAGATTAGACACATGTCAAAGCCTTGTACAAGGCTGATTGTAGCAAGCAATACGCACAGACCACATGCCCCTCCAGACAGTAAGTCACTAGAGTTGTACTAAGCAGTGATTGGCTAGTTGAAATGATTATGTTAGGACTTCAATGCTGATAGGATTTCCCAACATCTGTTAGTAATATAAATAGGATAATGCCAAAAGATCCATTAAATCACTCACACGGGACACATAAAGTATACTCAGATCAATCAAAGAAAGCTTTCAGCAATCACATTAGGTCTCATGTCCTATTTCATCACTGGAGGAGATTCCATCTGTACTTCTCATTAGGCTCAAAATTCTGGCTGAGAGTCTATCACAGGCAACTGGAACTCATATAAGACCCGGGCTCCTACTATATAAGTGTGTTAGCAGTATTATCAGAGGTTTCCACCTAAACCTACTGTAATACAGACCAGCATATAAACCATGGCCAGTTCAGATAATCCAGATGATGTGGGGTGAGTGTTGGAAGCACACCCAGACTTAATATTTCTTCTATTTCTTGAAGAGTCTGCTGTATTCATCTGAGGACTGGCTGGGGTAGAAATTAAAATCATAGCAGCGATGAGTGTTGGTTCCAGGTTTTCTTTACCCTAACACTTCATCGACTCAATTTCAATTTCCCACAAGCAGTGTCCCATACACACACTGCTGTTCATTCACCAAAGTCCTCCATACATGATCCAATACTTAAACAGTGATGACAACATTGAGATTCATTTACTCTTATCTCTTTCTACCCTACATTCATTCTGATCTTACACTGTGTTCTCTCAGCAGCAGATTACTATCAGCAATGATATGATCATTGATATCCACATTATATACCATTGTTTTCCCCTGCATATGACATGTCAGGCAACATTAAATCTGAGCTATCTAAAGATAGATACTGTGTGGCAGTCCACAATGTTATAGTTGCATATTTCTTGTGTCATAACACATTGTCTCAGGTACTTACATTATATGAGTAAGAAGTATGTCACAAAATGTCTATAATCTGGAGGTGTGGGGTGATATTATAGTTATGTAGCCTGTAAAATCAATTCAAAATGATATATCTAAGGATGAATATCTGCATATTGTTATCTAGGCCCTACCTACCAGTGAGTTGTCTTTTGATATTGCCACCCTTTCCTCCTTACTGATTACAGTCTGATTTAGTGTCTTTTGAACTACTCTACCTCAACTGCATTATTTTAGGCGATGACCCAAGCCATATTGTTCCAATTAACATTGCACAGATGTGGACTGTTGGTGACCTTAAAGATTTGATTAAAGATAAGAAGAAGTGATATTTTGACCATGTTAATGCTGACAGTCTCAAGCTATGGAAGGTGAGTGATCTGGTACTTGTAATCTGATCTTATGCTGAGACTTTGGAAGGTTAACCTGTCTTTTAATGACCCACTCAAGCATACTCTTGAGAGCCTTGAACTAGATCACGAGAAGTCATTGTCACCCATAGATGGAATGCTCAAGGTTTTTAACAGTTCTCCTCAATGTGAGGACCTGCATATTGTTATCTAACCACTACCTGCTAGTAAGCTACCTGGTGATATCACTCTGACTTGGCAGATGGGCTGACACTGCCTCCCAGATAGCTCCCATACTCATTTGCAACTATCACCTTCTACACTCCTGAACAGGATGTAGCAACTTCGTTTGGAGTACAGCCAAAAATTTCCTCAAAATGCTCCTTCCATTTAGGGGAAACCTTCTGAATTCAAAGGCATACAGAAAGATCAACAATGTACTTCTAGCGGCTTCACTCAAGTACTTTACAGCTTTGAATGCCTACCAGGTGGCTGGTACATGGTTGTGATGAAGATGATCACTGATGATTACTGTTGTCTTGGAGAACTTTCCGTTCCTTACTTGCATCATGATGCACTCACTGTAAGACTTCAATCTCTTCACCAAGATTAAAATGACATCCTCTATTGTGCACAACCATCACATGGACATATATTTGGTAGTAGCTGCACAATTGAGATTACTAATACATTGAATCTGATTAATGGATGTGCAAAATAGGTGTATACTATGTAGCACATAGACTTTAGGGTATTCTAAGGATAAATTTGTAACTATGTATTGGTTACAGCAAGGTTACAGCTAGTCAGAGGGCACAGAAATGGGCATTTCTCAATATCTCAAAAATGTGCAATTCCCAATATGGTAGCTTGAAAGCATATTCATCAGACCTCATATGACAAATAGTGCCAATAGTGTTAGAAATAGGAAAAATACACATCACAATCCAACTACATAACATATAGAAATTATAGCATTACACAATGACACAGAAAAATGATAAGAAACTATGAGTGCTTTCCATTTTCCGGGATAACAACAGCAAGAGTTGTTATGTTGAAATTTTGAGTTGAAGAGTACTTATTTTTAAAAAGTACTGTATATGTATTGTGGTAGTACTTGTAAGTAATTTGTTTCAGGCATGACTGGGTGTAAGTGCAAAGTAATGGCCTAGATGGACAACTTACTATGAAAAAGAGGAGAGTCGCTACTGATTAATGCAACAAGGAAAATGAGGACCGGTGTAGCACTCAGCCTTACACTAGGCTCATATTCAGCTATTATCCAATATGTATAAAATGCCCATTGCACATAAATCAGTATATATTTTATATAATACAATATTATATAGAATAGTGGTGTTGCGATGTATAGGCTATGACTAGCAGGTGTTACTCAATGATAAGGGGTGGGCCCTATATGAACATATATGGTAAAAACAGAAATAGGTTTCAAAGTTCAAAACTTTTTTCTCTTCTTAGGCTAGTGTCAATCTCCAGGAACCCTGGGACCATTATCAGTCTATTCCTACATCCTGAAAATACTGGGACCATCATTTACAGTATTGGTTTTGAGTTAAAAGTGACTGTAGTAAGATATATGACATAGGAGGGAGGAGGAGGACCTTTTATATCTTAATAACCTGATTTTTCTCGACAAAGCAGGCTTTACCTTCATATATAAGGACATTGAGAGTACTCTGGAAAAATGCTTCTAGAGGACAAGTAAGTCATGGGAAGCCTAGAAAAATTGATCTTTGAGAGGAGTATAAGGAAAACTCACATATTTTAATCAGGATGAACTCAAATCACTCTGGGACCATTTTCAATCAATTTATATGATCATAAAACAGTAGGAACATCTTTTTAGATACCAGTATTTACATAATATCAAGATATATGAGTTTTGGAAGGAAGGGGGACCCTGTATATCTCAACAACCTGATTTTTCCTGACAAAACTGGCTCTACCATTATGTTGAGAGGTATCAAGAGCCTTCAGGAAAAATAATTTTGGAGTCCTGGCAAGACATGTGAAGCCTAGAAAAATTGATCTTTAAGGGGGGGGTATCAGGCAAACTCACATATGTATCACATTCCATATTGGTTGAGAACACTCTGAAACTATGTCCAATCTATTTGTATGATCCTTAAACACTGGTTACATTATTTTTACATTATTATTAATATGAAATCATGCCTCTTGGTGAAGTAGGTAGGGGGAGGGGGTAGCATGACTCTCAAATCTAATTTTTTTTGGATCAAATTAGCATTGTCATCTCATTCAGATTAGTCAATAACCTCTACATCAAGTTTCATATGAAGTCAAACAAGTCACATGAAGACTGAAAAAATCAATCATTGAGTGCGGTAGCATGCCAGGGGTTTCACATTAATAGGACTCAATAACACTCAGACCAAGTTCCTAATAACACAAACAAAGTGTAAAAGACTGACATTTACAAGCAAAATAGAGTCTTCACTACAACATGGTGTCTATAAATGTCACCATATAAGGGTCCCACACATCCCAACTTCATATCTTCCTCAATCTAATCAGAGAGACAGGAAGCTTTGGACTGTACAAAAGTTCTCTTGCCTAATTTGCCATCGATTTAGCTATCATAGAGGATAGTAGAAGATGAAACCAGCTCCAGCAGGTGTTAGAATACTTAATTAATGCGAGTTGTAATGTAGCTATAAGCTGGCCTTGTCTTCTATCATCCTCCATGCAAGACACAGCCAACTCAATAGCAAATTGGTTAGTCTGTCTTGCCGCCTTGGAAACATATTTGACAATAGACAGATATCAAAACCACTATGAAAGTAAGTATTAATGCCAATTCCTGCCTTCTTAGTCACTCATCAAAGCATCCCACTGTCAGTGTTGCAAGGATGGATGAAATCAAAAGAGAAGGAGAAGGCCACTTTTTTATCTAGCTCAGCATACCATGATCATACCAAGTCTGAGAGTATATCCAGTGACTCAGAGGACAGCTCCACTTTATCTAAGTTGAGCTTATCAGAGCCTCCTCACAAGACCAGATACTGATAAGGTATGGGGTATTGTTTCTTTTTGTTGATTGCAAGTGAGGCTCGTATTAAACTTTTGTGATCAGTATCAACAGAAACTAATGACCATGAGACAACATGAGGGTTGCCTTCTATCTTCGATAACATAAATAGGTCTTCTAGATCTATGTCGTTATATGCAGTTCAGACCACTTACCTAAGCTGGCACTTGTTGCTTATCTTCTTCTATCATCCATCATCAAGGTCTGCTCAGACCAGGGTGTTATCTATAGCTGTGCAGGAAGCAGAGGGCAGGGGTGGCAGAGGGGACTCATGTAACATATTGTAATGCAGCCTGCTTGATGAGAGATAGGAGATAAGTGATGGCAAACATAATGTGGACAGCCCCCTTGACGAGAGATAGACAAAATGAATAGGGGTTTAAATATTATTGTAACAGTTCTCACATGAATTGCAAGAGTATCAAGACAGCGAAGGCTATATCGGGATGTGTGCATGTTGCTGCATACATTAGTGATCCGATAGCCTGTTGATACAGCACGTGTTCTTTGGATATTTCAGATTCGGTGTCTGGTGAATGATCTGTTGTCTCCTTTGTTAGAACTATTCCCATTTCCATTGGTGTCTGCAACATTTTCACAACCTTCATCCTGAACCTTGTAATTATAGTGTTAATGTATGCTTCTTGCAACAATGTTATGGTCCACACTGATCTATTGCACTCAATCTTGAGCCTAAGCAACCAGGTAAGTTCTCCCAGATCCATAATTTTGAAGTGTTTGCGGAGCTGATGTGTGAATTTCTCAATGTGTTCAAGGTGCTTCAAGGTGCCTGCCATGTCATCAATGGACGTGGTTATAACATTGTGCTCGTCCTTGATTTATTTGAAGTACACTGCTCAATCAATTTGTGAGCATATGAATCCAGCTTTGAGAAAGAACCTTTCTAACTCTTCTGACCATTCAAATCCAGCTCGTTTTAGTCCATACAAGCTATGCAAGAGCTTTAGAACTTTTCCTTCCTCTCCTGGGTTCAGATATCCTGGCAGCATATGCATGTATATGTCATTGTTGAGCTTCACTGGGTGTGGGATCTATCTTTTCTGCTGGAAAAACAGGAAACTTTTTGAAAGAAAAGGGCAAAATTTATCCCTAATTTAATCTGTCCAAAAGTTATGACACAAAGTTATAATGGTTTTCCAACTTACCTCTCACACAAATCATGAATAAATCAAAATTTTATTATCTCAATTTTCTCATTATATCTCACATTAAAATTGTAAAATAATGTTCACATGTGGCCAAACAAAATTCTGGACAAATTGGAAGCAACACGGGTTATGATGTGTCTCAAAAGTGTGTTTGAGAAAAATTGAATGGAAACACACAAATTTAGGTTGGAATTTGTCTGGTGGAAAAGAGCAGAAAAAATTAAGACTCCACAACCATTTCAATGTCTCCAGTGTTTGTCTGGCAGAAAAATCAGAACAACATTGTGACCAGCTGTCACAATAAGCATAAGATGTTTTCAACAGAAAAATAAGAAACAAATTGGGAACAGAATATTCCAATGTATTCAAAATTTGTCCATGTGAAAAAAGTTGAAACCATTGAAATGGAGAAATTTTGAATGTTATATGACATGAGTACTCGAATGGCCAATTGCCATTCGCCATTCACCAATTGTCAATCGCCAGACTAACTCAAAACTTTGTCAGACTATTGGAATAATTCAGGACATAGTCAAACTAATCAGGACTAACTCGGGACTTTCTCAGACTAACTCGAGACTTTCTCAGACTAATGCGGGACTTAGTCAGACTGACTGGGGACTTAGTCAGACTCACACGGGACTTAGTCAGACTATTGGAATAATTCGGGACTCAGTCAAACTAACTTGAGACTTTGTCTGACTAACGTGGGATGTGTCTGACTAACTCGAGACTTAGTCAGATGAACTTGAGGCTTTGTCAGACTAACTTGAGACTTAGTCAGACTATTGGAATAATTTGTGACTTAGTCAGACTAATCAGGACTAATGTGAGACTGTCTAACTAACTTGAGACTTAGTCAGACTAACTCGGGGACAAAGTCTCGAGTTAGTCTGACTAAGTCCCGAATTATTCCAATAGTCTGACTAAGTCCCCGTAGGAATATGGCGATAGTGTTGGGATTTAGGGACAGCGTACGACTGTTGATGGTGGGGTCTGACATTCTTGCCACCTTCTCGCTCTCTATTTTGACTTCCAAAAATGCAACCATAGCGCGTAGAAACTCTGTCCATGTTGGTTGACGTTATCAGCCAACCACTTGTCGAGGTTCAGGTACTCTCGGTGTGATGCCAGCGAAGCGACATCCAGGGCAAATGTAAAGAGCCGAACATCGAGCAAGCTCTCCAGAATCTGATCCCATTTATAGTCATCATGAGCACCTTGAGGCTCACTTTGGCTTACCTTGAGGTCCTGAGCTACGTCCAGGATCCTCAAGATATTGAGAGGATTTTCCTCATAGAAGTCGCAGAAGGCATCAGTCAGATAGGTCGGTTCGATCTGCCACAGACACATGAAGACCAGCTGGTGGTTAGGATGTCCGGCAAGGAACATGGCTAGAAGTTTCCAAGAGTATTCCACGCATATTTTGTTCCAGTTCGCATCCTTGACGCTATTTAAAAGAAGGATGTAAAGATAGAAGAATAACTTACTGGCACTTGCAATAGACCCATTTGTACCAGTTCAGCGCTTATCTTTAGTGCCTTGTCGAGCATATCCCTAACACATGAGCGAATGTCGGCGCTGTCCGAGTCCACAAGTCGTATGAGAACCTCGAAGACATCCAATGAATTCCAAGTGTGACTCTGTACATTAGCTGCAAGGGACTTGGTTGTGGGGCTTGCAATTGCGATGTCATCCACTGTAATGATCCTCCTGCCTGGCAAAGACACAAAATTGAAAGTATCCGCAGGTAATGAGAGCAACACATCAAGAAGTTTTAGTTGATATAATGAGTTGGACCATGTCCCCCAGAAACCAATCACAGCATGAGGATCAGCGTCACGTGGGCAGTTGAGCAGAATGGCGATCAGAAGCTTTAAGGTAGCAGTATCCACCCCATGACGGTCAGGTAGATCAAATGCCTTAATGACATTCGCCCAATTCAAGATAGTGTGCTAATCACGCACATCAGTAAATGCAAATCTCAATCAAAGTGACCCTTACAAAGCTGCTTAACGCCCTGACCAAAGCTCCGACATCACATAAAGTTGTACCCTCCACGGCCAATTGAGCCAAATTGGACATAATCTCCACCAATTGAGGGTCTCGAGGAGGATTAGCTTCTGAAATCCCAAATCGTTGAAGCAGAGCACAGACAGTATCTGGATCGCTGGTAATATCAGGACCCAGCTGAATCAGTGTCTGAACCAGGGAAGTCCCAGGAGGCAAGCTGTGCAGAAGGGTTCGGGTTAATAGTTGACTGAAGTGGTAAACACATTGTCCTGACCTTAACATTGAAAAAATGTGCTGCAGGATAGGAGCAACAATTTTGGGCCCATACTTTGCCTGTGTAGCAGCAATGAGCACTTGATGCTGCGTGGGATCCAGGATTAGGGTCTCGGAGGCGGACTCGGAAAGAAGATTTGACATGAGTTTCACAACTTGCTGAGGTGAAAGATTGGCATGGTCGAATGAGGGGTGCTGGTACATAGTATTGTAAATGTAAGGGAATTTTAAAGGGCTATATAAACATCAACAAGCCAGAGGTGTGTCGACAAGGTTGTGCAGGAGGTTTGCTATAATAAAAGTTCACGTTACACCTTGTTCAACACTTGAAAATGGTGAAAGGTTGTTACAATACGGTGAGTGCAGTTAGAGAACGAGGAGAAACAGATATGCACGACAGATAGTAGGAATAAAGGCAAAATGAATCTATGGTTGATAGATGGACCTCGCGACCTGCAATGTCTGTTGCGTGAAGGTTTCAACTAAACAGCAGGATGTCTTACGCTCTCAAGCAACATGGTAACTTCAGGTGTGACACGAATGAACTCCTTGTTCCAGAATTCATACTTCAAATTGTGGAGCAACTCAATGAAAGTGACCAAAGCACCCCAGGGATGAGGATGATGAACAATGAAGCGCTCCAGAAGGACACGAGTCATTACTTCACGAAAGCGATTGTCCTTCACTTCCACAAAGAGATGGAGAAGCAAAGAGCTGAACCAGTGGGTATGGGCATTGGGATATCACAGGTGGAGAACCATAGAGCTCAAGAGGTGGTGTTGTCCTAAATAACGCGTCAATCTATGTCATATGAACTAGTAGATTCGTTGGACTCGCCTTGAACATCTAAATTAGCAGCAAGATACTATAAAGCAACAACGCCAGGGTTGCTCGCGACAAATACAGACAAGCCACTCCTCGCCTTGGCCTGAGCAACTGACGATACTCCAATGTACATGACAAGGGAGTTTATCAATGACAGGTTGTACGATTTGGTTGAACTCTCTGGCACGCTGGGCAGCCTCAAGCGATCTTTGAGTGTTGTAAGGAATGAAGGGGTTCCACGATTAAGGAGGTATTGATTGAGGTTGTTGCAGAGATCAGCGCTTTTGAGACCTGAGGCAAAGTCTGATAGAATGGGTGGTATCGGTCCCATTTCAGGAATCAAGTCAAATTTGATGTTGCATAGATGGGGGTCAGGAAGGATGATAGACATAGGGAACATGCTGAGGATGATATTGCGAAGCTGGATGCAACATGGAGGGATGGCATCGCAGAGACCGAAGTAGTATTCGCTAAGGAATTCTGGGAAATCATGAAGAAGGATGAGGAGGAGTTGGAGGGAGCCGTGATACAGATCATGAGATGCAAGTTGGAGATCAGCCTCTTTTAAGAACGGAGCCAAAAAATTAAAGAGGAAAAGAAGGAGCTTGTGGAATGCAGACCAGCCCTAATGGAATCGAGTCAAAAAAGGTCCTCTAATATTGAATTATAATCTCACCTCCCAGTTTTCAGATAGCAGCAGTTTTGGCATGAAGAGTCAATGTGAAACAAGACAGAGCCAAGAGAATGCGAACCCAGGAAAGTAAGTGGGTTGCAGAGAACTGAAAGTGTCACTGCGATCCTGTGAGAGATGATAAAAATAACAACTGGAGAACGGTTTACCTGATGGCGATCAGCAGAGAGAAATAAGCTGAGCCTAGATGTTCTGCGATGGAGTGCAGGTCGCTAATGAGACTGGAGAAGAATCTGAAGAACGGCTTCTGTGGAAATCAAGATAGTCTCCGCAGCAACGGTATTGACATTCAAAAAGTATAAATGTATGTTAGCAGAAAGATCGGAGTGATGTATGGACTACACCTTTGGACAGCATTATAGAGGCATGAAATGAAAAGACAGTATGTGAAGGTATCAACAGGGTTGACAATTCAGATTCAAACTTTACATGTTGGCTTGTGTGGATGTGTCGATTACGGCATGCTCCCATGGAGGTCGCGATTGTGAGTAGGAAAGTAACTGAGTCGTTGAGTTATATTTTGGTTTCGGCTTGATAAATAATGAGGTTGATAATGGGAAAATACATGTAAGAGCAGTAGCTTGATTTGGTGAACAAATTGCTCTTGAACGAAGATTAGCATACACTGTGACATGCGGAAAAAAACATATGAGGGGTACAGACACAACAGTTGCCCCGTCACCGGTCACCTGCAAGCTCTCGATCTAAAATAAGAAGTGATGCAGAAGGTGGTCGAGATGCAGCACAAGCGACGAACTAGAAGCTGGAAGCCTGTAACGGTAAAGACAAGGAAACAAGGGAGCACGACCCCAATGAGGTTGCGGCTGACCCGGACTGGCGACAACCGTGAAACTTTTCGTGAAAACTCTTCTACTACTAGGTACGGGAATCATGACTCTGCACTATGATAGTATGATTCATATGAATCACTGAGTCCTGAAGCTTGAAGGCTTGAAGACCACAGAAGTGCCCATGCATGATGTTGTCTTGTGCTCGTTCAACTGTCTCTCCCGTTCACAGACTGGGCTACCCAGAAACCGGCTGCTAGTGCAACTTCTACGGAACATATTGTTGACAATCAGAATTTGATTCTAGTGGGGAATCCAGACACACCGGTGTCTTGGCCGCACTTGCCACAGTATACCAGCAACGACATCATTGCATCGCCAGGTGTTCAACCAAGCTTCTGAAGGAGTGCATATTCATACATGCAAACCCAGTCAGCAACGTCTATACATTATGCGAGTGATGTTTGCTATAAGGAATGCTTGATCACCTTTTAATTTATTGGGCGCCAATGCACGACTGTCATTGTCTGACCCCATATACTAGCCCAGAAGTAAATTATCATTAGATTCAAACCACCATCCCTAGCCTGAAAAATATGTAGTTACCATTAACTCAACTATCAACCAGATTGCTTCTGCGGTCCAGAAGTACCGCAGCTCCGCTCTAGTTCTTCGTTCCTAAGACGCGCTGTGGCAGCTTCTAGCGCCCTTATCCGATGTTCTTCTGTGGTATTGTTACCTTGAAGGTCTGTGCCTCCTAGAACATGAACAAGTGCCTTGGAGCTGCTTCGTAAGAACACGATACTGAACTTCGCTTGCAAGCTGAATCATGGAATTGACTTCGGCTTGTGTCTTCTTGCCTTTCTCAACTAGAGCCTGGAGCTCCGTGTCCATGGTATATTCTCCACGCAGAAAAGTGTTCATGAGATTTTCTTTGATCGGAAAACGTGCCTTGACAGACTTTTTACCTGTCCAGTCTTCCCTGTGGGTCTGACACTCCATGAAAATCTGAGGGATGATGTTCAGTGAGCTCCACAAATAAAGTCAAGCACACTGACCATTTTCACATCTGTATCACCATACCACCGGAGATGGATAGCTTCAGCACCCTCTGTCTTCTCCAGTCGACCAAGGTGAAGTTCAAGATCTTCATTGTCAAAGTATGTCAAAGTAATGGCTGCAATAAGCGTCAACAATACATCCTGTGATGATTCGGAATCAAAAATGTACCAGCATCCTTCTGTTCGAATTCCTTTTTGGCATTGAAGACTATAAAGAGAGATAAATCGAAACAAGTACCAAAATGCACTCCCACTAACCGAGAACGGGTAGATGTCGTAAAATGGCCAGTTTTAGTGGAACCAGGTTATCTGGATGCACCTAAAATTGACTAGTTAGTAAACATAAATGTGATAAGAAAAATATTTATTACCCAATACTTTGTCGTCTGATGTACAAAGGTGCTTTGGTTCCCGCCTGCACTTGAATCGCCCTGTACAGGATATCCTCAAGTGCGGACCAGGTCATAGAGCTTGGATAACTTGATGATCAAGATGTCCCAATTGTATTTATAGAAGGGCTCAAGATAGTGTTGAATAAATGTAGGTTTCAGCAGAAAATTTGTGATTTTAGATCAAGGATGACACATCAGGAAATTCAGAAAACGCACATCGTGTTTCTATGGCGATGACTGGTGAATTGGTATAAGGCAAGAGGCATGAATGGACGTACCTTTGAAATTTTAAGAAAACCAGTGATATCTAACTTAGTGTACAATGCCAAATCGTGAACATCTGCTATGAGGATAGTGACTTCTTCTTGAAGGCTGTGAAAGAGGTCTTCGAGTGAGGTATCAGATTGGTTATCGACCATCATCATCGTCTTCGGAGCCCTCGTCGGGTCCATAGTCCGAAGGGCATGCTCGATGCGATCCTGGGTCAGAGGAATGGGTGTGGAGTGCCTCGGAAGAAGATGGTGAAGATTCTTGAGCGATGAGTTTTTGAACGTCCTTTTCAGCATCCCGTATATGGTGAGATAACTCGGCGGTCTGGACAGCGTCAGCTGAAGCAGAGGAATGAACTGAGCTTTGATTATTTACCTTTTGTTTCAGGAAATCATAAAACTTTATCGGGCTCCTGTTTCAGCATGGCAGTGAAATCACGTTCATCTTTGTCGTCCCAGCTGTGAGAGGTGGTGCGAGACTACCCAGATAGAGCGGATGAGTGTGGCTCGAGCAGTTTGGAGAAGGATTTACCTTGAATTCATGTTTCAACAAATTGTAGTCGATGTAGAAGGGTCTCCATTCATCATAAAGGTTAGTCTGTCAGAACAAGATCATCTAGTTCGCTTCACCTAATTTACCATACACAAAAATGACACATCGTGATCTTCCTTCCAAACTTCATGATGTGCCTGTCAACAACTAGCTGGGAATAAGTGGAAATCCTTTAGAAAAGAGTGTTCTACAAGTCTGCGGCGGTAGCTCACCAACACGGAACAAGGAGAAGAAGTTTGGGTGTTAACATGTTAATTTCCACAATAGAAATAGAAGAGGGTAATTGAATTTCTAGAAAGAAAGGAACGTGGTGGGACAACAGCCCATCTAAAAAAGGAGTGTTTGATGTATGTAAGTACTCGTGTCTAAAGCAGCTGGGGTAAGCGCATACAATATGTACTGGGATTGGGTGGTCGTATATAGGATTGGTCTAGTACGGATTGAGCGTATGTCGTGGCGTGGCGTGGATGGGGTACAGGTCCCCTGGCGTAGCGGTAGCGTGGCAAAGGAAGTGTGGCAAAGAATGTATGCCAGGTAGAAGGGAGGGGGAGGGGAGGATGTGATACTGATAGAAATATACAGATAGAAGATAGGTGATATGACGGGCAATATCGATAATAAGTTCTGAAGGAATACCATTTTTAAAGGAAGGAAGAATGGCAAGGATGGAACAAAACAAAAACACAGGAAAAAAAAGAAGGAAAAACACGCAAGCGTGAAGATGGAGACAAGTAACAGTAAAAAAACAGATCAAAGAAGGAAAAAAGCATGACACTTTCAAACACCAGACATGAATCCCCGTCGTCAATCACCTCCCATACCCGCTCCTGCTCCTCGGCCGCCCCCAATTTGCAGTAAGTCCACCAACGCCAACACCCCCACCAGCACTCGTACCAGTGTTCTGACCAGTAACCCACCTAGGCGCCGAATCACTCCTTACCCTTTGATGTTGCTGCTGCTGCTTCTCACCACCACTCCCACCAACGTCCATATCCAATCCAAACTCAAATTCATATCCCCCTCAACATCATCTTCTCCCCCCATTAAAGCACTGCCAAGTCCAGAGACAGACCCTCCCACCATAGGAGAAACCATTGGAGATCCACCACCCATCGAAGACCCAACACTGCCCACACTAACGACACTCCCCGTCCTTCTCTGCCTCTTCTCCCTTCCTCCTCCCTCTCGCATGCCATGTGCATCTACATCAGGAGTGGGCGTCAGGGTGATACTAGGCTGGCACCCATGTCCGTGTCGACCAAAGGCAGAGAACTTGCTGGAGGTGGGAGAGGGGGTTGATGTGTGCAGGGCGTACTGGGGAATGCTGAGCATTGGGACTGATGGATCATGGCTGTGGCCATGACCCTGAGATGAGTGCGAATGGGAGGGGGAGTGTGCATGTGAGAGGGATGGAGAGGGGGCTGAGGTGATGTAGATGTTTGGGCTGTGATCACTTGGAATCGGGCTTGGAGGGACTGGAGAGGGGGAGGGGCTTGGGGCATTCAGGGTGTTGAGTTCTTGGATTAGCGTTGGTGATACTGCATGTAGGGTTAGTGACGAGTTGAGATTTAAAGGAAGAAACGCACCAGATCCGATCGTATCGCATAGGGTCCTTATGATCCCAGTCAATTTCTCCACTTTCCGTCGTTCACGGCACATCTCGGCACCTGCCCAATTCATCCAAGCTTCGCCTCCTCCACCCATCCCCATACTGAAACCAGGTGCCATGACATTCAACAAAAACCCCTCCTCACTTCCATCTTCATCATCATCTCCCCCAATACATAATTTCGGGGGGGGAGGTACTAGCAGATTGGGAGAGGGTGTTGGCTATGTGAGAAGGGACACGTCCGCCTAGACATGAGATCTCGCGCCAGAGGGCCTTGTTCTCATCTCGCATGTCATTTAGAAGACGAGCAACTTCACTGGGGAGTTCAACGCTAGGGGTTAGATTAAATTTAGTTGTGTGGTGGAGATTGAGCAGAGCTTACCGGCCACATTCGCAAGGATCAGGCTCAAGAGCCTTGCGTTTGATGGCATCCAAGAGGTCTGGGTGTGCGTGGAGGAATTTGGGATGGCTGAATTCCCAAGTTTGAGATGTTGTAGATGTGCGTTGGGCGTGTGGTGTCTGTTTTATGAAATGTTAGATGATGAAATGAGTGGACATAGGTACGGACTCCGTTGATTTTGTGAAAGCCATACATGTTGAGTTGGCGCACAAAGCTTGAGAACTGTGGAGATGTGAGTTGTTTAAATAGTGGTGAAAAGAAGACTGACATTGTTGTGTTTGAAATGAGAGCCAAGGATGCTCCTGCTGAATTCGCCTACATTTGAAACGACAAAACTAGAAAGATGGAATGAGACAGAAAGTGAGAGCGATGAATAGGACTGACCTTGTTCTGAGTTCAGTCCATGCAATGAAAAGCTGACTCTGTGGATTGTTGATCATCCTGTAGATGTTGAATGGCAGATATGAAGTAGTCAATTGAACGCACTGATAAAGCTTTGTTACAAAGTTGTTGGTGCCCATTGGTTTACCGATGACGCCTAGACTAGGACCTGTTGCACTAGATTTTTGGCCTTCATCGTCTGTGTCGGCTTGATCTGGCATTGAATAACCTGTTATGCCATCGGGATCATCGTATGTTGCATTTATATCAATCTGATTTGAAGGCTGTGAACTAGCCGGTGTGAGCAGACCTTGTGAGGAAGGTTCACTTATTGGAGGGGGTGACAAAGCTGTTGTTGTTATGATTGGATGTGGGAGTACGTGCCCTCTATAAGAATGAGAGTGTCCATGACTGTGATTAGTGGGTGGCGGAGGAGTGGTGTTTGTGAGACTTCGTTTATGTGGTACACTCTTTTCTACTGCCAATTCGCTTGATGAAGTAGAGTGAGATCCGGTGCTCGGACGACGCTGTGCTAGTAAGAGAGATGAGTTGTCTGTCGGTTCAAAATTGAATTGAAAGGTGGGAGGTTGTGGACTAAGATGAGCTGGACTGAAATTTGGAGGTGATACAGGAGTTATAGGAGATACACCATGATGAAGATGTGAAGATACTGAGAGGGAACTGAGGTTGAGCATTAAATTGCTGCTCGTAATAATTAAGGAGAAGTGGAACACGCCGAGTCTTAGTCAGCTGGTCAGCCCCTGGTATTCATATTTACCACAGAAGCTATGAACTCAGGGGTGAGACTGTATCTCTCCGGGTATCGGTATGAACTTGCAAAAGGGCGCCAAGGAGTGCGAGTTCCTGAAGGTTGTCTCATGACTCTGATAATATACACCAGTGGGATCAACATACTCACCCAATACCAGCTGTGAGATGCAGTTCAATCAATTTTGTTTGCAAATCATAGTAGACTTGTCGTCGGCAACACTTCTGGAATATATCAGGAATTGCCGACTGGGTTTAAATCATAGTCATTCTGTATATCAACTCTTCCCAACCTCAAGATTAACTTCTTTCTGACCTCTAGAGTACCATATATACCATGTTCATAGCATACTACTATAATTTAATGTCATGGGGATTACACGTATTTTCACACTTTATATACTTCAAAACATTGTCAAAACATAACATTTAGTAGCAATGTTTCGAGTCGCGATTCCAGCATTTGTTTAGTAAGCTAAATTAGTTGTTCAATACAAGTACAGAGGATATGCAATTCCGGGCTTCTTGTCTGCTACTATCTCGACTTCCTATTCATAGATAGGATGGAGAACACAGAGAATAGAGGTGCTAGGGACATAACATCTAAGTTTATAGGTTCATTATATTCTGCAGAAATTAAAGGTGTCGGCTAGACGGAATGTCCAAAAGTGCAGCCTGTAGCGATGATGACCATGCCCCGAGTCACATGTTGACAAATGATCGTGAGTTTTGATCAGATGTCGAATATATTGTCACTCATGAGCCTGTGTGTCTGATAGGAAATTGTCGGGCAGCGCCATCGCCATTGGCAGATGAAGGCGCATGGTGAATTCTTCAACAGTTCCTCACTACCGACATGATGTACCCTCAGATGGAAAATGCATTTTCTGCATACCTTGGTGGTCGATACATCGTGGACGACTGGAAGGATGCTAGAGACACATTATTCTCTGGTGATGGCAATGACAGCATCGCCTTAGCAAACCTTTATGCATTAAAGGCCAAGCACATACCCCTACCATCGTCTTCATCAAGGGTAAACAGCTGCCTCTCAAGCACTCCCATTCAACAACCGTGTAAACATCCCCAAGTAAGTGTGTCATCATCTCTGACGACTGTTACTAAATAACAAATATAGTTGAGGACGGACTCAAGCACTCGTGTTCAACAACTGCATAAATGTCTCAAAGTAAGTGAGTTATTATTCTGACAAATTTATACTAAACAAATACAGCGGAATCCATACATCATTACTGAAGCAGATGAAAGTGAAAGAGAAGAGGTAGATGTTGAAGATGAGGTTGAGGTCAAAGATGCCCCTTCTGTGTGATTGCCAAAGGTTGCACACTTTTCTGGACCATCAGCTAAGGATAGGTTGGCTTCAGCATTCGATAACATTTTCGATAGGATCGGAGAGAGGCGATCCTTCTCATTAGAGACTCACTCTTGCAAGGCCGCTTCATTCTCCTGTGCAATTGAAGGCAGAATGTACCTCCTCCATGTTCAGAGTATGTTCATTCTTAATGATGTGTGACCTTACTTATTGTATGCCAGGAAATGGCGTAGATTACATCTCTGAACACCTTAGGAGTCAAGGATTTCCTGTTACGGTGTCGGCTTGGGCAGCAGGCCAGTTGTATGTTGTCGCAGATAGCCCTAAAGCTATCTCAACGTCGCTTCCAACCTCACATAGTTTTGCCGTTAAACAATACATTCAGATTTCAGACGAGGAGCATCAGGCAGTCGAACATTTAAGGTCCAAACTTCCCGACCCAGGGTGGGTGAGGATCAAATATGGAAAGTATAAGGGCGACATGGGATACATCTTTGATTCTGATCAATCCAATGGTTTTGTTACCATCTTGATCACTTTCTGGGACTTTCCCTATCCCATGCCTGGTCGTTCTGTGGCCCTACTAGACCGATCCCGCCTCCCTAATAATGATCAAGCCATTCGCAACATTATCCGCGATGGAAAAGTCGTGGGATGCTCTTATACAGGCGAACTATACTATATGGGACTCTTAGTGAAACAATTTCACTAGAAACAAACAGAGTATAGACTATCCGAAGATAGAGCCAGGGATATAGACTATTGGAATCGATCTGAAGTCTCAGAGATTGACAAGAGCTAAATAAACTCAAGTCCAGAGGACAGAAAGAGGACAAACTAAGATGATATTTGAACTGAGATACTATAGGACCTTTACAAGAGTTTATATACTAAGAGAATAATGGAAGGATCAATAAGTAAGGGTCCAAGGCTATGTATGAAGCATATGCAAAGTCTATCAAATGCGAGTCAGAAATGAAACATAGGTTAACAGATCAGTAAGCATACCGGTAGTAAGTATAACCAAGATACCGGGAACAGGAAATATCGAATAGGCTGTGTTTAACGTCATATGAACATGAGATGAATTAAGAAGCTTATCATAAATCGGACCGGAAGCAGATCTATACATTGGACCAGATCAGATCTAGGGTCTGAAGTCTGGAAGAGAAGCATGGATATATGGGATATGACAGTATCCCCCCCTTAGGGCCAATCCTTAGAGGCACAAGAACCATTGGTCTGGACCAGACGAAATTAACGTGAGATGATGGAGAAGTCGATGGGGAAAGTTTCTGAGTTCAGAATCAGACAGATATACTCAAGGCAGGGCATCCTAGATTGATTCTTCCTTTCCCATTTCATTTTTCACTCTGTATAACACTCTATCAGACATGTCTGGCAACACCTCTGGATCTCAGAACACCGCTAAGCAGAAACTGCAGCTTGGATGGAGGAAGAAGAGAATCAGAAGTGTCAGGAGGAGGAATGGAAACATCAGGAGGACTTGAAGAAGATTGAGCAGGCTGAAATCTGAATGGAAGTGGAAGCAGAGCAGAAAAGGCATAGCGAAATAGTAGCACAAATGGTGAGTTTCAGATGGGTATGATGACTTTTCCTAATGGATAAGAAGACTCATGCTATGGCTTCCGAAGGGAGCGGATCCTGCACGTGTTGTGCTACCAAGGGTTGAACTTGTCTGTGGACGGATGCAGCTAGTAATATTCTGGTGAGTTATCTGCATATTTTTGGATCCAAGTTTTTTTGATGTTCGGATAGATCAAGTCTTGCAACTCCTGTCAGAAGGACAAGGCCACATGGCCTGGAAAACCCAAAACTGTCAAGGTACCATATATGGAATATGACAAGAAAGTGATCTTTGTTGGCAAAACATGCATTCCAATGATCAGATAAGAAGGAATGTCCTGGTAGTCTATCATGCATAGCCTATGTTTAGTCCAATCAGAACTTTTTTTCTTACAGTTCCACCATCTGTTTCTCTGTCAAAGCGAGCATCTGCCTTGAGTCATTTATATGTATCTCATTATACTTGTAAATAATCCTCAGGCTCATCTCTAGAGATGCCACTATGCTAAGAGTCCACTATGGACTGCAGAGACAATGATACATCTGAAGTTTCTGGACATGTTGGAGTAGACCTCAGTGAGTGAGGCCATATCATTGGTAGTAGACTGATTAACCATAATGATGCAGTAAATGGAGTATTAAGAAATATCAAGCCTGTTCTCACTTTATGTTGAATCACCAAGTTGTTGAAGCAGCAAGAAATTAGTACTTAGGATCAAAGCAGTAGGTCATGGCTGCAGTCAATGATCTCCAAAAAATAAGAATCATAGTTACTGGTGTAGGTAATACAACACAGAGTGGGGCTATACAAAGATGGCTCCAAACTGTTATCTTTATGTTGTGGTCTTGCACTGCCTAGTCTGCTATACTTGGTGAGACAAGTGCATTTGACCTAGGGGTCTGCGGTCTGGGAATAGTTTTGGGAGTCAGTGAGTGATATGGGGTCAATAATCTGAGTGTGGGAAAAAATGTCTGAAGGTATAATTACAATGTCCAATGCAAGAGTGTCAGGTCCAATGTTTTCGGGTTTCAGATTATCGGGTTCGGGTTCGGGTTATCAGAAACTAATAGTGAGTGTCGGAACAGCGAGTGGTATGTGCAATAATAATGATGACAGATATGGACAGTGAAGGAACAATGATATTCACAATGTCAACTAAGAACTACGAAATATCGGATTTGACCCCTGATGTACTGTGGTGTGAAGAAGTTATAGTGACTGGCTAGCAAGTAAGCTAGAGCACTAATAAAATCCTACTGAGTGCAGGTGTGCTATATCGACCCAAGAGGATTGCTATGAAGCACTTCCTTCAAATAAAATGCGAAGAGAGTAGATGCGGAACATGAGAGAACGAGTGCGATTAAGGAAAGCGAAGACGACAGTGAGAGCGAAGGTGAGAACCTGAACCCGATAAAGGTGCAATGAGAAATGAGTGAGAGCGAGAGGTTTCTAGGTAAAGCACGATTCCGCGGGTAGCGGCTAGGTATGGATGAGGGTTATGGCTGAGGTATAACCAGATATAGAATGCTAAGTCTGAACCTGCTGAAGGTACAACAATTCAGATGGTGAGTCTGAACAATGTGTTGGGTCTTGCAGAACCTAGCTGCTATTAGACCCTAAAGGGTTTCTGGACCAGGCTCAAGGCTCAGAGTAGAGGAAATATCATAAAAACCTGCTGAGCACTCAGACTCATACTGGTAACTGGTGAAAAGATAACTTGCTTATGTAAGCTACAAAAGTGCCAACATAAGATAAGGTAAAAACAGTCTCTACAAGCCCAGCCAGAAATGAATCCCTACATCTCATGGGAACTTTAAATCATGACTGTCCCCAGTCATCTACCTATGTAAACCAAAGCTAAGCTAAACTTAAGAGAACTAACCTGGGGGTCCTCAAACACCTGTTGTTTCCTTGACGCGTATACCAGGTAAACTGCGCCAGTGAGTGAGGGTCAGGTAATGCAATAAAACGATAATCCCCAGACTTTGCTTTTCCGCTTTGTATAGCTTTGGACTTCGCATCTCAGTAGTATATAAACCCTGTAGAATCTATGTACATCCTGAGTTCGAATATTATCTTAGACTCTGCTCATTCCTTCCTCCGCCCGACTTGACACATAATTCAGTACTTTATTTTCGACTTAGTCGGACAGCCAATGGTTGAGAATAGACCCAGTTAGGTGGGCCGTCCAACGTGGGCCCATGTGTGCTTATGCACAGATGGGCCCACAGTGTGGAATAGCACCCATGCTAGCAGGTGGGCCAAGTGTTGATGCCATAGCATGAATGGGACAATTGTAATGGGCCACAAGGTACATGGGTCCAGTTATATATCTCGGAAGGGGGGTACGGATGGGCCTAGCTACTTATTCTTGGGGAAATTTGATGTCGGAAGAGCCAACAGGAAAATTTTGAGCCCATAATAGTATCAGGCATGGCTGGCGAATGGGCTCAGCTCGTATCGGAATAGCTTACGGATGAGCCCAGCTGGTTATTGACAGTATCGGAAGAGGGCACAAGTGAGCCTACCGGTTATTCCTGGGCCCATCACAATACTGGGAAGGGTTAGTGGATGGGCCAACTGGTTATTTTGGGCCCAGTAGATACCAATTCAGTGTGCGGATGGGTCAAATATGCAAGACCTGGCCCAGCACATAACAAATTCAGGTGCGGATCGGCTCAGTACACAAGCATCCGGAAGGGCCCAATCGGTCCTCACATTCAATATGCGGATCGGTCCGGCTGGTAAGGTTTAGGCCCAGTGCACCAATATCCGGAAGGCCCGAACTGGCCCAGCACATGCACATTCCCACAGATCGGGCCAGCCAAGGTGGGCCCCAATATGCGGGCAAGTCGGGTGGGCCTACCATGAAGGAATTCCCGGTAGTGATGGGCGAGCCATTAGTATATGGATGTGGTACTGATTTGGTAGGGGTCACGGATGGGCCCAGCAAGTTTTTTCGGCCCACCGGATATGCATATGATCCCACCTGGAGGGGCAACGTATAGTCTCATCTATTGTTCGGCCCAGTACATATGCCGGGTAGTCTTGGATGGGCCTACGGATGGGCCCAAGAGAATATTCATTTGATCTCGGAAGGGCCGACTAAGCTGAATATATGGCATGGGACTGCATTGTATTCGTGAAGGGCCAGCTAGTTATTTGGTCTGGCCCATGATAGGCATCTGATTTCGGAAGGGCTAACAGTTGCGCCCAGCAGGATATTCTTCGACCTAGTACATGTGCAAATAATCTCGGAGCGGCTTCCGGATAAGCCCAGTGCAAGTGTTGGATCTCGGAAGGGCTCGGCTAGAGAATTTGGGCCAAGTCAGTGCACTTTGTGTCAGAGACTAGTTTTACAGATGCAACTGGTGCAACAGAAACGAGTAATAAAATACAGGACAAAGTTCGATACGAATGCTGATCCAGATCCGACGTTGATATACATGTCGGAGGGATGCACCATACATGTACCGTCCGCGATGATGCACATCATTATAATGCTCAGAAAATCATCGGCCGTGATCATCGTGCCGTAGTCGGGAGTGTCAAAACTTTCATTGCCACTACCGCATGAATATCACAGCGTCATGTCATCATCATGAAGTAAAGCATATCCTCACTATGGAAGACAAGATATTGAATGAAACAACAATGCAGCTCATATCTACAAATCACATAAACCCAGAACTGAGCTACAGGAGATGGGGACCGTGAACAGCATAGTAAGGAAAGATGTAGCTAAAAGTACAGAATATATAGGGTATCATGATATAAAGAATCCCGGAAACTAGTCGATCCGAGATGTACCGGATAGGGTGTCATTGCTCTCTACTAGGCATCCGAGGCGTCAAGGTGTTGCTCCAGTGCGTCCAAGCGCTGGTGGATGATGGTCTCCACTGAATGAACTCTTACATCCAAGGTGTCCAGTCGCTCGTTGGTGGCCAGGAGATCAAATCTCCTGCCGAGGTCCTGAATGCTCTGCAGGATGTCCCTTGCAGTGGGCTCGGGATCGGCGCAGTTGGTTGGCGCAAACTGATCACCCCGTTCGGGCCGTTGGCTTGTGCTGTTGATCGCAAGCGTTTTGATTGGCACATCAGCCGGCAGGCCAGGTTGTTGCTCCACCTCTAAGAGTTATCTCAATGAGTTAACATCTTTCCATTTGGACGGAAAGCTCACCTTCGGCGATGTTAAGTATAACTGGAGATATCACGCGGGACTTCCGAATGCGCGTTCCGGAGTGTTCGGAAGAATTTGAGGAAGCAGCGGAAGCCTTTGCCTGGATTCTCTTCCTCACGCCGACGCCGTCGATCGCACAGGTGACCTTCATGAGGTCGCAATTTGCACACACAAGTCGCGTGCATCCGAACTTTTTGTCCAGAAGGACAACGCATGGTATGTCCATTTTCGTGCACTTGTCGCACTTCCGGGGATGGAAACGAATGGAATGCTTGAAATTTGTTAGGTTGTCCTGGTACAGATAGACACAACAACTTACCTGGAACAGAGTAGCAATACAATCATCTGAGCCCCATTCTGCAGGCTTGACAATGGGTCAGCATCAGCGCTACGGATAAGTGAGAATCACTTACCCGAATGTCTGAATCCCGGAAATCCTGGTCATTGCCTGGCGGACCAGCCTTGTCAGGAGCAACAGACGGTAATGCCTGGAGCGATAAGCCATTTGCTGCATCAACCAAGATCAACTGACATACCTTCGGTTTCACATCAATGATTGCGGTTGGCGCATCCGACATCAACTTCCTTTTCTTTTTCAGAGGCTCTTGGGGCGAGGAAGGTAACTTGGGGGTTTCGACCACAACGGCCCCATCCGTATCTTCATCGCCCGCCTTTCCCTTCTTGCTATCGCCGGCCGTGGAAAGTGCCTTCCAATGTTCCCTATCAGCTTTGGCCACATACAGGTGGCGGTATCTCAAGGGTGGATGTGCCGGATGAAGGAGAGGGGGTAGGTTCTTGAGCACTCGTGGGCGGGAAGGGCGTTTTGGTTGCGCTACCGGCTTGGCAACGAGATCCAGGTCCGTGCAGGATGGATTCTGACGTGCTCGTAAGCACGAAGATCATCTCAGTTCTGGTACAGGCTTGGCAATGAAATCTGGGTCTGCACGGGATGGCGTTGATGCAAGAGCTGAGGTTGTCAAGGGCGGGACGATGTGAGGTGGTGAGGTGGGAGAGGTGGTGATTGCGCTCGATGTCGCAAGTAGAGAAACATCAAGGGCAAAGGGTGGGCGATAGTCTACGGTCTTCTCGAATCGCGGGTGGTCCTTGATCCGTGGGTCGTCTTCTGCTACCGAAGTCCAATTGGGGACATTCTCAAAGGCACCGCCCTTTGAATACTGCCGGATAACGGTGGCGCAGGAGAGTAGCAGGGGAGAGAATGATGTCGCATTCCCCGCATAGAGTTTCAAGTCTTTGGCCTGTGTGAAATGGTCGGGTTGCAAAAAAATCTGAAGTCGGAGAGGAAATATAACTTACCACTCGCCTGGCGATCTCATCCGAGAGCCTTAAGGTTTCTGGGTCAGCTTCCTTTAACTTCATGCAACGCTTGATGAGCGACTGCACATCAGCCAGAGTTATCTCCAGGGCATCGTTGGCTGCTTCCTGAGGTATCATGACAAATTGTGAAGGGACGAAATTCGTTAACGGCAATGAAAGGGATGGAAGCAAGAGAATATGTTTGTGTGGGAAAATGGCTGGGTGTCATCCCAATCCGCCGGTTCTGGGTGTTTCCGAGACATGTGGTCACTCAGAAATCTTGTCCGGGTGTCACACTATTGTACAGAACAATTGTAGCTACCACTCTGGCATTCGGTCACTGCCATAGGTATATCCACACTGCAAATCCACAAAAAATTGTGTAGAGTCCGGCGATCTCATACACGGCATAGCACCCATTATGGGCGAGATGTGGATTCAGGGTTGTCGCGGCGGAGGTATTGTAGATCAAACCACATATTATTGTGATAACGGACAGTATTGGGGTGAGGATCTCACCGATACAGACTAGCACGCCGCCGCAACAAGCCTTAATCCACTTCTCACCCATAATGAATGCTATGCTGCATATGGGATATCCAGACAGCAGATTATGGTCAGGCGGCATATGCAGATCCGCCTTTCCTGATGTGGATGTGATGACGTAAGACAGCAGTTCTATTGTGCAACAATAATGTTACACCCGGTCCACATTTCAGAGCTTCCACAATTCGCGGAAATGGCCACAACCAACAGGTTGATATAAAAGTCGGCACTTGGACAATTTTCCAAACACCAAATTTTGCTCGTCCGTATCTACATTACCACATTGACTTCTATATCAACCATGACACCTTCCGAGGCAGCAAACGATGCCCTAAACGCCACTCTGGCAGCCGTGCAACCGCTCATGAAGCGTTGCATGAAGTTGAAGGAGGGCGATCCAGAGAGTTTGACACTATCGGATGACATCGCCAGGCGTGTGGTGAGTTTATTTCTTTTGGACTTTGGAATTCCTGGCAAGCTAAACCCCACGCAGGCCAAAGATCTAAGGATGCATGCTGGGGATGCAACATCATTCTCCCCGCAGCTACTCTCCTGTGCTGCCGTGATCCGGCAGTACTCCAAGGGCGGTACTTTTGAGTGCGTCCCCGACTGGACCTCTGTGTCAGACAATGACCCGAGGATCCAGAGCCACCCAAGGTTTGACAAGACCGTGGGCTACCGCAGTCCCTCTGAGATTGAGGTTTCTACCTCTTTTGAACCCGTAAATTTACCTGTGTCTGCCGTCCTCTCCCCAACAGATACTTTGACGCCGCAGTCCACGGTCTTGGCGGTCTTGCTGACTGCATCCATCGCAGATGGAGATCCAATCACCTCACCGGACACTCCACCCAGACCAACATCTCCCCCACCCAAGCCTGCGGATGCAACATCATCCGCTGACACTTCAGCACCTCCTGCTACTTCCTTCAAACACAATCTCTTTGTGGCTGGCACTCAGAAGAAATCTGCAAAGGTCGCGCCGCAGGTCGGCAAAAGTAAGAAGAGAAAAGCGGCAGACGACACTGACGAGGCGGTTACTGACACACCCGAGTTGCCTCCCCGGTCCTCGAAACCGAGGCAACAAAGGAAGAAGAAGTTCCGCTGGGATGAAGACCCAGAGAACGCTCCCACCGGAACGGTATATGCGATCCCAAAGGTATGTCAGTCGCATGAATTGTTGACCAAATTGTTAACTCCCTCAGCAGAAGGTATCGCTGCCTGTTGCCGCTAAGAAGGATGCCGACCCGGCAGTTCTGGACACTTCTGATGCGCCTGATGACAAAGGTTTCCAGGATGCAGACACCAGGGTATGTTATTTGCGCTTAACAAAGCTCTTCCACTCATTCATTTATGCAGCCTGCCCTATGGGGCCAGGATTCCCATATCGCTACCCCGTTGCAGGCAAGTCATTCAGCATATGACTGCCATAATATACTAACCATTGTACAGTATTCCGTCCGTCATCACCCCCGGAAGTGCGACAAGTGCAGGAAACTCGACATACCCTGCCTTGTCCTGCCGGACAAGAAGTTCGGATGCACGCGACTAGCTTGCGCCAACTGTGATCAGATGAAAATCACATGTGCAATCGATGGCGTGGGTGTTAGGGAGAGGTTGCAGGCGAAGACTGCTGTAGCAGCATCCAATCCTCCCAAGCACTCCGGAACGTGCATTCTGAAGTCCCGCGCCAAGACACCTGGCCGCTCATCTAGGAAGACAAACCTAGCGCCCCCGCCCCCTAGTTCCTCCAGCAGTGAACAAGAGGGTAATGGTAAGTTTTTGATTCAATCCGAGAAGCTTCCACTCATCTAGATTTCGCAGAGGCAGAGCAACAGCCAACGGATGTCCTGCCCGGAAATGCTCCAATGGCGCAACTTCCAACAACATCCGCAGCCGACCCAGTCCCACAGCCCGAACAGGACGCCCAGCCTGCGCCGGCCAATGCCATGGATGCTGAGCCAACAGCAAGACACATCTTGCAAAGCATCCAGGACCTCGGCAGGAGGTTAGATCTCTTCGCCACCAATGAGCGGGTGGAGGCATTGGAGGTAAGAGTTGCTTCAGCGGAGACCAACTTCAACCAACGGTTGAACGCATTGGAGCAATGGCTGAACATCTCAGATGCACGGCGGAGAGCGATGTCCGCATCTTAATGTCTCCCGATCTTACAATATGGCTATCCTTTGTGTCTTTTCCAGGTTCTTGTACATACTGGCTCCCGATATTCTGAGGATTTATGCCCCGTGTCATGCTCCCGTTGTTACCATATGACCAGCTTTGATATGTTCTAGGTTTATGTATATACCGGCTCCTGATATTCTATGCCCAATGCTATGCTCCTATTGTTACAATATTACCGACTGTTTTGTAATGTAAAGGTTCTTATGGATACACTAAGCCAATATTCATGAGCCCGGCCCATCCGAGATCAATGTTTGTGCTTTGGCAAATCAACTGGGCCCGACAAGGCCCAAGGGAATTCATTTGGTCTTGGAAGGGCCCACAAATCAAATTATACGGCATAGACTTTGCATTTGATTTCGGAAGGGCCAGCTGGTTATTTCTCTGGCCCAAGATAGGCTCATATGATTTCGGAAGGGCCCAGCTGGATGTTTCTTGGGCCCAGCACATATGCAAGTTATCTCGGAGGGGCTTCTAGATAAGCCCAGCAGGTTATTTCTTCGGCCCAGTGCTAGTGTTGGATCTCGGAAGAACTTAGGGAAGGACTCAGCCAGGTATTGTAGGCCTAGTCAGTTGCTATTAATTGTTCAACCCAGAACGTACACAAGCAGCTGGGGAAGGGGCATCTACAGAGTGTTGGTAATAATCTCGGAATGAGTGACAGATGGCCCCGGTAAATGAGTTTGTAAAGGACCTACGGATATGCCCAGCAAGTCAATGTTCATTGCTGTTTCAGGAAGGTCTGGTGAGAAATTTTTCAGGCTGTACAGTATCTTACCGATCTCCCCAAAGAGTAAAGCATTTGGTCTTGGAAACACTGCTGAGTGCCCGGTAGATGTGCATGTCATCTCGGAAGGGCCGATTGACATTACTTTGACACGATATAGGATTTGGGCTCAGAAGGTAGTATAGTGAGGTGTAGTCAATAGGGATGCATCTTGATATAGATCTCAGAGGGATACACCATACATGTAGCATCTGCAATGATGTGCCCTCTACCGCATGAACTATCTATACCGGAGTATCATGGCATTGACTGTCACAGGTTCATGTGATCATCATGAAGTAAAGTACATTCTCACTAGGGAAAACAATATGTAGCAACCAACAATGCGGCTCATATATACAAATTACATGGACCAAGACCCAGCCTACAGGAACATCGACCAGGAACAGCATAGTCAGGACAAAGTGGCTGAGTTATTGTATATATATATGGTAATGGTGACTTGCGTAACAGATCCGGGCATCACGAGATGTACCGGAGATGCTGACATGCTCTCTATTGGGCATCCGATGTGTTCCACCCGCTCATTGGTGGCCAGGAGATCAGATCTCCTGCCGAGGTCCTTGATGCCCTGCAGAATGTCCCTTGCAGTTGGTTCGGGACCGGCAAGGTTGGTCGGCGCAAGCTGATCATCCGGTTCCGGTCATTGGCTTCTGAGAAGAATTGGGAACATTTGCATGGGCACATCATCCGGCAGGCCAGGCTGTTGCTCCGCATCTGAGAGTCATCTCAATGAGTTCAACTTCTTCCGATTTGATGGCAAACTCACCTGCAACGAGGTTAAGTTTAACCCCAGAAGAACGGGAGGATTGCGCAAGTGTGTTCTGAGCCGGCATCTTGGAGATCACGCCAGATGTCGGAAAGCGCATTCCAGAATGTTCAGCAGAACTCGAGGAAGCCACGGATGCCTTTGCCTGCATTCTATATTCCATTTATGTATGGTAGAATCCTCCTTACTGAGACTTGTGAGAAGGCGTGTGCCATGGGCAATAATCGAATTGGCGAGCTACATTACAACAGATATTAATCTATGTCGCCGTTCTCCGAAAAATACAGACTGGTATCAAGCAAAGTGGACTTTTGGTGCTACAACAAATTATACATGAATCAAATGACCGTTAGCGACCCTTCACCAAATATACGGCGGCGCTTTGCAGCTGGCTCCCGAACATCTTGCTCAGGATGAAATAGATAATTCAGCATATCCAAATCATGCTCCGCCACAATCTTCTGCCCATCCCACGCACCGTCAGGCCGTTGAATATCCTCCCAATTGACATACATAGGATAATGCGTCTTCTGGATCGGTCTGGCCCAATCGAAATCGAGCAGCATGAAGTGTTTGTCGTCCCGCACAACGAAATTGGTATCTCGGAGGTCGCCATGAACGTAGCCGTCATTGTGATTGTGTAACTCCCGGATGAGAGTGGTGATGGTCTCCTTCAGCGGCTGACGGTCCGACACACTTATCTCACTGAGTAGTCGATATGAGCCAGGTCGTTGCGCAAGCAATCATTATCAATATCAAGGGCATCCATAACCACCAGATTCCAGCCGCCGGGTAAAGAATTGTAGGCAATAATTTTCGGGGCGTTCCCCTTGCTGGCACAGATTCATGGGCCTGAGGGGAATAGTGCCTGACAAACTTCATGCATATCTTGCTCCCAGCCACACCGCCGACAGTTTCCCCGAAGAAGATAAGTCGATCCCTGAGGATTTGAATCTCATCATATGAGAATTGCTGAATGAAACCGGTGGAAGTGGTATAACTCCGAGGGTAAGGACATTTAAGATATGGATCTTCGGGTGCGAGGGACGGGATTGGACGGGAGTATAGTTTGGTAAGTTTCTCGACGGCAATTTTGAGAGCCCCGAAAGTATGAGCTGCCATCACTTGCATGTGGAGGTCTGTTGAATGCCAAAACAAAGGAATGATAGGGACCAGGACATCGGACTGGACTTTTTCAGTGAAAACAGAGCCTGAAAAGCCGATGCATGCCCCTAGTTGTGATCAATAAACAGCTTTAGCAATTAATCTGGTGAAATGAACTAACTGAAGACGATGATATGGATGCATGGAATGAAAGACCGGAGCCTCGCCATCTCAATCTTCGAGTCTTCCATAAACTTGCGGTAGTACAGCATCGCCTCCATAAATGGTTCGGCAGCGCCGCTTCCGATCTCGTTCTTCCCCTCAATAATCATCAGCACAAACTGTCTGTTGGTAGACAAAAGATGTCCGTCCATTGTACATCCGGTCGAGCCAACCATAGAAGCATTCAGTATAATACCGTAGTCCCGGAGTACTTGCCGGAATGTATTCATCCGCGCGAGTTCATTGGGATAGAAGGAGGCCATCTTTTCCGACAGTTGCAAAACAACGTCATTATCACGGACGGTTGGTTGATGATTTTGACAATCATCCACGAACTCGGCAAAGATAGGCTCGAGAAGAGTAATGGGAACAGGGTCCGCGGCTCTGCGAGGACGATTGCAAAGGTACTCTTGCTGGTCCTGCTTCATAGAGAATGCGGATGGTTTTGCTCCGGCCGACGGACTACCCGCGCCCTTCTTGAGATAAGCGATTCGCCGATCAACAGCTGGAATTTGTCGTGCAATGGCAGGATGTTGTACGACGATATGAATGCATCCGCGCTCTATTCCATCCGCAAACACATTGGACAGTTCGGTTTCACCCATAAATGGCGAGTCGGATACCCGGACAGCCATACAGGATCTTCCAGAAGCAATGGTGGATAGGCCATTCCTGATGTAGATCAACTGCGGGTGCCAAGACGAAACCCGGAAATGCAGCACCGCACGTCGGTGACAGCACAAGAGGAAGGCAGGCGATGAAGATTTGGATGTGGCGGTTATCGCAGATGAACCCAAGTCACCTCCACTCTCGAGGTCCAGACAGAAGAGAAAGAAGAAGTTCCAATCGACTGACGAGGACAAAGTTCACACCGGAACTATCTTGGTAAAGGTATGTTTGATTATGTGTGTATATGAATCCTGAACTCACACGCGCTCCCACCGCCTAAGGCAGCGTCAGACAAGGATTTGAATCTGGCGGGTATAGACTCTGCGGCCGATGACAGAAATGTCCGGGAGGAAGAGACATGGGTGCGTTATCTGCTTCCCTGCTCAACATTAAGAATCAGCATTCATATTGAACTGTATCCGGTATTTTATTACCCCCGGGACATCTGTATATTCTCCCGGAAATATGCTACCGGACTAGTTGATCACCGTCCTTGGATTGAAAGCATTATCTAGGTTCGGACTCTTAGATATACTGCGCGGGTCGCCGATATTGCGGAGATTCTGTGATTTTACCCAGTTTGATGCTCCAGTACATATATTATTTCACCTATTCCTTTTTGAATGGTTTTTGTGCGTACTGCTTAGTCCCACCTAGTCACATACGCCTGGCTTCATGGTGATTGCATGAAGCTTGAACTTCCAATAGCATAATATACTGCAGTGTATATAGCTCATCTGGTTGTAGGCCGGGCATGATACAAGTTCTGGCATGCTGAGCTACGGAAAAACGATCGCGTCCAATTATAGCTCTGGGGGTGATAGGTAGCCAGCACGCTAACACATATATCATCTTTTTATCCGTATGCGCTCCTATATCAAACTGTTGGTATTGCTTCATCTTTGTAGTAACTAAGCCCATGTGAGTTGTGGCTACCGAATATAGTAGCCGACCGGATTACTTGGTACATACGTAGCCGCAGGTCATCATACCATCTTCCGATACCAGGCATCGCCACGACCTGATTGGATGTCTTGCGTATCATACGGAAGATGTTCATGATGACAATTGATAACCTGTTTGGCGATTCTGGGGAATGCTTGGGATGTAACTTCTAGATAATCATGTATGCTGATGTTTCCATGCATTTATCACATAACTGGATCCATTTGGCTCATGATCTACAAGGGTTTCCACATCATCCGTGAAATTGATTTCTTGAATTTCCGGAGAGGTCAATCTGCAAATGTCAATATATATATCTCTTCCGGTATCACATCAAAAGTTGCATTGCTCTGCTATTTTTATTGGCTCCAAGGCCCAATCACATCCTGGATCGCATCCATCTTCACCAGAGACCCATATCCGACGTTTTAAGCCAGCGTGCAAGCCCTTCCGAGAGCAACAGTTCACTAGTAGGGCCCATCCGTAAGATAGTGTAAATATGTGCTGGGTCATCAAATGACCAACTGTGCTTTGCCAAAACCGCATTACGCACAGAATCAATTGCTTGGCATGTCAGTTTTCCCTTGTAATGTTCACTGACCTCACAATAAAGGGCTGAGCCCATCCATCAAATGTTCCGAGATTATCCATCTTAGCTTGGTCGCCTCTCAGAGAGTAACATGCTTATAACACAGGCCGAAACATCACTTCCTGGCCCTTCTGAGATGAAACTCATCCTTGTTGGTCAACTGGACCTTTGCTGATTGAGCCTCACTGGGCCTAACAATGATTAGCTGAGCCCTCCCATCAGCATTACCGAGATCAAAGCATATGCTGATGGGCCCAAAAATAACTAGCTAAGCTCATCCGTAACCCTAGAGGAGCGATGAGCTGGCCCGCTCCCCACAGGTCCCTGTTGCGCAGCCCATCTGCCTGGGCAGATTTCCATGATTAATACATTCATACACAGCCGCCACAACCGAATTTTGTCTTGTCTTGCCCACCCGACGACACAAAACTCGACTTCTTGGGCCGAAAACAACATCCGTGACACCAGCTGGCCCATCCTGGAAGCACCCCTTTGATCATATGTTTGCCATATGATGCATCAATAAACATATTGTTCGGCAGAATCGTCTTGAAAGTAGGCTATTGTATGCCAAACATTCCTGACAAAGCAAACTTTCAATGTAGTGGAACATCTGATTCATCTATTGCAAACCTTCATACATCTCCTCACTGCTATCTTATAGAAATACAAGACAAATACAAGTACAGCATTAGGCTCCTTTAGTCATGAAATGCGCAGCCGGATGTGCCAACGATCTACTCGCCGGATGTGCCGGGAGGGGCGCTAGAGAATCGGGAGGATAAAGGAGAGGAGGCGAACGGAAGCGATGTTCCAGGTACAGCTGTAGATACAGATCTCCTGGCATTATCTAGCCGTCTGCTGTTGACACCAGGGGGCTGCCTCGCAATTTGCGAGGCAGCCTCCTCATCACCGCTGCCGGTATTGTGGAGTGACCACAATGGATATATGGCCTTATGTTGCTGCGATTGTGAGTCTCCAGGCTATGCTCTCACGAGGACGGTGTATCATCTGATCGTCTTTGTGCTTCCGAAGAGCCATGGCCAAATTGCCCAGAGATGATGATATCGCAGTCCAATGCTGATTCGAAGCGCTTAAACGTTTCTCCAGCACGGTCAACCTCACATCTAATCTCTCCTCCATCACACCTAACCTTGTGTCTAACGCGTCACCCGTTCATTTGTGGCAAGGAGATCAAACCGTCTACCGAGGTCATGTATACTATGCAGTATATCTCTGGCAGTTGGCTCGGGCTCGGGCTGATGTCTGAGTCTGCCTGACCCAACCGTAGGATCGGTGATCGGTTGGGCCGTTGCTGGGGGTAACACTGTCTCCAAAGGCTGCATGGCCAGGGATGCCAGTGGATCCGGATGTGGAGTCACACCCTCCATTGGTTGGTCCACATGTGAGTCTGAAATTTGATTGATTTTCGCTAGCCCGAAGCGTGCTATAGATGTGCTTACCGCCCGATAAATCCAACGGAACATCCTTTTGTCCGGCACGGGTGAATACACGAGCAGGTTTTTTCTTTCTTTTTGTGGTGGCAGCTTTAGCTTGAGTTTTGGTGGGGCGCGATTTGGGGGTGCGGATTTGAGTACGTTTGGGAGGAAGTGCTTCATCTCCCTTCGACTTTGCTTGCAACCTCTCCCGGACGCCAACACCGTCAATTGCGCAGGTTATCTTCATTTCATCGCAGTTGGCACAGGCAAGTCGCGTGAACCCATGTTTCTTGTCCGGCAGTACAATACAAGGTACATCCAATTTGACACATTTGTCACACTTTCGAGGGTGATAGCGAACGGAATACTGGGACGACATACATCACCTGATATTAGCATCCAGAGTATCAAGAACCCACCTCCGCCGCCGTTGCAATGGTGGAATCATGACCCCATCCAGTAGGCTAGAGAAATAAGCATTAAAATGAAATCACCGAGTAGATGACGACCTACCCGGGTGTCTGCATCCCAGAAACCTTTATCGACCGTGTCCGAGGGCGTTGGATTGACCAGTCCTGCAACTGCATTTGCCGTCGATGCCGACGATTTGTGCTGCAACATTCATGCTAAAGTCAGAAGTACAAACAGCAAAAGAAGGATGTAGCACCTTCCGGGTGACGAGTATGCTTCCGGTCAGGTGGTTCTCATCATCATCCGACATGAACTTCTTCTTCCTTTTCGGGGCAGATTGCCGGGATAATGGGCGTGGTGCTGGTCTACGCATCCCGTAAGTTTCATTTGTGGCATCATCTTCCGCTTGTATGTTCTTCCGCTTGGCCGGTTGTCGAACGGTCTTCGTTTGTGTCTTCATGTTTCCCGTCACACTAGGATCGTCCTTGCTTGGCGCAGCTGCGGTAGAAGGGTACATAGGAGTCAGCGGTTCCAAAGGTGCCGTTACTGTTCGCGGAGGAGTTGGCGGGACCTGGTCAAACAAGGCTGCCGGGGTAGATGCATGTGCATGTATGGCCGGGCTCAAGATATCCTTTGTGAGGGCAGGGTCTTGAACGTGAGCTATCGATCTGCCCTCCGGAGTGGCACCGAAGGGCAGTGTTGAGGAGGTAGCTTGCGCATCCGTCAAACCGGAAGCAACAGGTTCCGTGACCCCAAAACTAGTGACATGACGATAATTTACCGTCTTGTGGAATCTTGGATGATGCTTGATGCGTGGATCATTGTCGACGATGGTTGTCCAGTCCGGCAATGCTTGAAAGACGCCAGCCTTGGAATACTGCCGTACGACCGCTGCACATGACAGCAGCTGGGGGGAGAATGATGTCGCGTGGCCTGCGTAGAGTTTTAAGTCTTTTGCCTGTAACCAATTGTGTTAGTACCAACATTAACACCACATAAACGGCAGCGGACGTACCACACGTCTAGCGATCTCATCCGATAATGCCAACCCCGCCGCTGAATCGCCCTCCTTCAACTTCATACATCGCTTTATAAGCGATTGCACATCCTCTAATGTGTTATTCAGAGCAGCGTCTGCTTCGGAAGGTGTCATAGCACTAGATGCAAAATGTTGGTGAGTTGATAACAGCGCAACTCTCTGGGGAAGAGAAAAAGGAATGACTCAGAGAAATTTTACCCATATCAGGATCTATATGTCATATCCCATATATTCACGCTTCTCTTCCGGACTTCGGACCCTGAGATCCGGTCTGGTCCGATGTATAGATCCGCTTCCGATCCGATTTACGATAAGCTTTCTAATTCATTTCCTGTTTCATATAACGTTAAACACAGCCTATTCGGTATTTCCTCTTCCCGGTGTTTCGGTTATGCTTATTACCGGTATGATTACTGATCCGTTAACCTATGTCTCATTTCCGACTCGCGTTTGATAACCTTTGCACATGCTTCGTACATAGCCTCGGACCCTTGCTTACTGATACTTCCGTTATCCTCATAGTATATAAACTCGTGTATATGTCCTGTAGTACCTCAGTTCGAATATCATCTTAGTTTGTCCTCTTTCTGTCCTCCGGACTTGAGTTCTCCTTACTCTTGTCACTCTCCGAGACTTCGGATAGATTCCGATAGTCTATATCCTCGGCTCTACCTTCGGGTAGTCTTTACTCTGTTAGTTTCTAGTTCGGATACGTCCGGATTAGCCTTATACGCGTTTCCGATATCCGGAAGACTTCCGGATATACTACGAGACCCGTCCGGACCTTCGGACGCGTTATCGTTAGTACTTTGAAATAAGGGACAGTACTTGGGAAAGGGGCACAGCGTACGAGCTGAGGCCGAAGTCCTTCGGATCCGATCTTACGAGAGTACGACCTTAACAGTATATTCGAACTCACACCTTTCCAAGTACACTTACTCATATCATGGCTCCTACTAAAGTAAACCAAGCCGCTTTGCACGCTGTCGGACTTTCGTCCACCCGACGCGATCCGACATCCGTAGTTAACGCCTTCACCAGTTTCTCTCAGCGCCGTGTATCACGCGGTCCTGCTCAAAGTATTTCGCAACTCATGAATCGTCCGCATCCGGAAACCCCTACGCGCACTCCTGCCGGAGGTGATCCGGATGACGAAGGACCTCCGGACGATGAAGATACTCCTGGTGGAAACCCTCCGGATGACTTCGGAGGTGATCCGGATGATGAACCGGATGACAACGATGATGAATTTGACGGGTTAAACCCACAAGACCGTGTCATGCTTCGGCTTTCTCAAGCCATCGACAATCTCGCACGCAACAATCGTCGTCCGACCTCGTCCGAAGATTCTAAAGTCAAGATCCGTGAGCCCGATACTTTCGATGGCACTGAGCCTCGGAAGCTTCGTGCATTCTTCGTCCAATGCGAGCTCTACTTCCAAAGCAAACCCAAAGCCTTCCGTTCCGGACGGGCAAAAGTCAACTTCGCCCAATCCTACCTTAAGGGTATGGCACTCGAGTGGTTCGAACCGGATCTCCTAGCCGACGAGGACGATGATCGTCCGGATTGGATGGATGATTACTCCGCGTTCATGCTTGAACTCCAAACCAATTTCGGACCGCACGATCCGTCCGGAGATGCGGAAATGCAATTGGAGCAACTTCATATGCGTGACGGACAACGCATTAATAAATATGTTGTTGAATTTCAGCGTCTTGCTTCACAAGTCCGTGGCTGGGGTGACGGTGCCCTAAGACGCCAATTCTATAACGGACTTCCGGCTCGTATCAAAGACGAAATCAGTCGCATGGGTAAACCTTCCACCCTTTCCGAATACAAGATCCTTGCCCAGACTATCGACGCTCGATACTGGGAACGGAAGGGAGAAGTCGCCCGCGAAACTAAACCCACCACCTCCATTCCTCCTAAGCAAACCACGTCCGATCGGACGAATTCCAACTCGTCCGGACCTTCGAGGTACAAATCCGACAAACCCGCTACTTCCGCATCATCCTCCGTTTCTAAACCTCCGGACCTTACCTCCAAGTTAGGAAAGGACGGGAAGCTCACGTCCGAAGAACGTAAGAGACGGATGGATAACAAACTCTGTCTATTCTGCGGTGGACCCGGCCATTCGGCTCGGGAATGCACCAAGTCTACTTCGCGCGCTGCCAAAGGCCGCGCTGCAGTAGTAACTCCGGAAGACAAACCGGAGGCTTCGGATGAAGCAAAAAAATAGTCCGCAACCCTCCCGACTCCGCACGGGATGAGGGTTGCGTTGACTCTACCCGTGCAACGGAGCTACGTCTCAATGCTGTTTCTCTTTCCGATCCGAACTCTCTTTGTCCATACGTTTCTATTCCTACTTTTCCTGATATTTCTGATTTTCCTTCACTAATTGATTGTGGTTCCTCTCACTGTTTTATAGACTCTGATTTCGTCCGAAAAAATAAAATTCCTACATATCCGATATCTCCGCTTTCTCTCCGTTTGTTTGATGGTACTTGTAATAATATGATTTCTGAAGCTATAGATTTGCCTATCTGTTTTCCGTCCGGTGTAGTTACCTCCGATACGTTTTACGTTACTCCGTTGGATTCTTCTTGTTTTATCGTTCTTGGATATAGCTGGCTCACCCTACACAATCCGTTGATTGACTGGGTTTCGGGCAGCATCGATTTCCGAACGACTTCTCATGGAATGCCTTCGACACCTCCGACGTCGCTTCCGTCTCCGGATCCGCATCCTCCGATGGAAGATTTACCTCCTCCGACTACATCCGGAACCTCCGCTGATAAAACCATCCCCAACATTTCCTTGATCAATGCGGTTGCCTTTTGCCGGGCCTGCAAATTGGAAGGATCGGAACAGTTCAGCATCTACCTTCGTCCGACCGGTGTAGACCTCCGGTCCGCTTCCCTTTCATCCGATCCTCCGGACCTGTCCGGAATTCCTCCGGAATATCACGAATTCTCGGATGTGTTCGATAAGGGCAAAGCTAGCCAACTTCCTCCTCATCGTCCCTATGATCTCAAAATCGAGTTAGAGGAAGGAACTAGTCCGCCCCTCGGAACCATTTATTCTCTATCTGCAGTTGAGCTTGCAGCCCTCCGGAAGTTTCTTGATGAAAATATTTCCTCCGGACTCCTCCGTTCCTCATCCTCTTCTCACGGAGCTCCTGTCCTGTTTGTCAAGAAAAAGGATGGCTCCCTTCGCCTCTGTGTAGATTTCCGTGGACTTAACCAGATTACCAAGAAAGACCGATATCCGTTACCTCTCATTACCGACCTCCTAGACTCTCCGAGCCGCGCTAAAGTCTATACCAAAATCGACCTCCGATCCGCTTATCATCTCGTCCGGATAGCGGACGGAGACGAATGGAAGACCGCGTTCCGAACGCGTTATGGCTCATATGAATGGTTGGTAATGCCGGAAGGTCTCACTAACGCTCCGGCTGCATTCCAACGCTTTGTCAATAGCGTGTTTGCTGATATGCTGGATGTATGCGTTATCGTATATCTGGACGACATCCTCATCTATTCCCAAGACCTTGCATCCCATAAGGAACATGTCCGAGAAGTCCTTCTCCGTCTCCGAAAACATCGACTCTATGCTAAACCCGAAAAATGCGCGTTCCATACCACATCCGTTGAATACCTTGGTTACATCCTATCTCCGGACGGCTTGACCATGTCGTCCGAGAAGATCCAGTCCATCGTTGACTGGCCGGAACCTCGGAAAGTTAAGGATATTCAATCCTTCCTCGGATTCGCAAATTTCTATCGTCGATTCATTTTCAATTACTTGGACATCGTAGTTCCGCTCACCCGTCTTACCCGCAAGGGGGTTACTTGGGATTTTTCCGATGATTGTCGGAAGTCTTTTGAAACACTCAAGAAAGCTTTCACGTCCGCTCCGGTGCTTACGCACTGGATTCCGAATGTTCCGATAGTCGTAGAAACCGACGCCTCTGACTACGCTATAGCCGGAATACTTTCCATAGTATGTCCGGACTCAGAGCTTCGTCCGGTGGCATTTTATTCTCGGACGCTTACCGCTCCGGAACTCAACTACGACACTCACGATAAGGAACTTCTAGCCATCCATGAAGCTTTTCGGACGTGGCGACATTACCTTGAAGGCTCTGCCGAGCCGATAGACGTTGTCACGGACCATAAGAACCTTGAGTATTTCTCTACCACAAAACTCCTCTCTCGCCGTCAGGCCCGCTGGTCGGAATTCCTCCATCAGTTTAACCTAGTCATCCGTTTCCGTCCCGGAAAACTCGGAGCTAAACCGGATTCCCTTACTAGACGCTGGGACGTCTATCCCAAAGAGGGGGATAAGGACTACGCTCGAGTTAACCCTCACAATTTCCGTCCGGTATTCACTTCGGAACAGTTAGCTTCGTCCCTCCGAGCCTCAACTCTAGTAACTCCGGTTCTTAGGGCAGCCGTTCTGATTGATATCGACCAGCTCCGGAAAGACATCCTGACCGCACTTCCTAATGACCCTATCGCATCCGAACATCTTCCGGAACCTTCGGATCCGAGATGGACGGTGGACGATAGTGGTTTCCTCCGCTGCGACAACCGTATATATGTTCCGGAATCTAATAATCTCCGTCTTCGCGTCCTCCAGAATACTCATGATCATCCGTTGTCCGGACACTTCGGACAGAACCGGACGCTAGATATCATCCGACGCGAGTACACTTGGCCAGGAATCCGTACCTATGTCAAAGACTACGTCAAGTCTTGTACTTCCTGCGGCCGAGCTAAGGTTCCGAGACACAAACCTTACGGATTGCTCAAGCAGTTACCCATACCGGAAAAGCCTTGGAATTCTATATCCATGGATTTCATCGAGCACCTTCCGGACTCATCCGGCTTTACAGCCATCCTCGTCGTAATCGACCGTCTATCCAAACAAGCTATATTCATCCCTACCCACGACACCATTACCTCTCCGGATCTCGCTCGTCTATTCGTCCTCCACGTGTTTTCCAAGCACAGAGTTCCATCCCATGTCACTTCGGACCGAGGAACAGAATTCGTATCGCATTTCTTCCGGTCCTTAGGAAAAGCATTAGATATGGTCCTCCACTTCACGTCCGGATATCATCCGGAAGGAGACGGACAAACCAAACGAGCGAACCAAACCCTTGAACAATACCTCCGGATATACTGCAACTATCAGCAGGATAACTGGTCGGAACTACTTCCCTTGGCAGAATTCGCTTATAACAACGCTCCGAGTGCTACTACCGGAGTATCACCCTTCTTCGCCAATAAGGGATATCATCCGAACCTATCCGTTCATCCGGAACGTGACCTCTCATCCGCCCGCGCACGAGACTATGCAGTAGACCTTGACGAACTCCATCAGTTCCTCCGAGAAGAAATGGCCCACGCACAAGAAAGATATCAAGGACCTGCGGACGCCAAACGGAAACCTGCTCCGGATATGAAAATCGGAGATCCGGTCTTCGTCAAAGCAAAATACTTCCGATCCACCCGTCCGTCCAAGAAACTCTCGGAAAAGAACTTAGGTCCGTTCGAAATCATAGCTCGTCCGGGTACGCATTCTTTCACCATCCGACTTCCGGATTCCATGCACTCCGTACACCCAGTTTTCCATGTCTCGCAATTAGAACCAGCCACACTCAATACCATTCCTAATCGTATCCAATCGCCTCCGCCTCCGGTCGAAGTCGACGGAGAACCCGAATATGAGATATCCGAAGTTTTGGACTCAAAATTAGACCGTCGGAGAAGACAATGTCAACTCCTATACCTCGTCCGATGGTCCGGATATGAAGGAACGGACGAGGAGACTTCATGGTTACTTGCTACGGAGCTCGGTAACGCATCCGAACTAGTTTCGGACTTCCACGCTGCATATCCGAACAAACCCGGTCCTATTCAACTTTGAAGTACATAGTGTGCATACGAAATACAAGTACATTTAGAGAAGAAGCATAAACGGACCAGAAATTCCTACATCTCCATAGACCCATCCGCCTCTCCGGATCCGCCTGCATCACTTCCGGACGCCCTTTCCATCACCTCATCTTCCTCCTCCGGACCCGGAGACGTCCGAAATCCCTTCCGAATATGTCCGAACAACATGGCTTGAAATTCCCTCTGTTGCTGAAGGAACAGCTCAATTCCGGAGCTCATCCGGTCCGCTGCAGCCCTGCTGCCTTCCGCCGCCTGAATACTTCTCTCCAAAAGGGTGTTAGTCCTAGCCAGCTCCGCCACTATACTGTTGGCTGCGGCCACCCAAGCCTGATCATCGTATTCCGTCTCCATCTCCTCCGGATCTTCAGGAGTCGGACTCTTCTGACGTTTCTTACCTTTACCTTTCGGAGATGGAGATCCGGCAGCATGCTTCCTCTTCTTGCCCTTGGGCACCTTGACAGTTCCGGGTCGTCCGGGGCACGTAGCCTTGTCCTTCCGGCAGATATCGCAAGACTTGACCTATCCGGACGTCAAAACACTCGGATCCGAAAAAAAAAAAACACGGATTAACTCACCAGAGCATTGCTCTCCGCATCCGTCCAAAGGCAAGTCCGGCCTCTGTCGCTGCAACGCTTGCAGGATCCGTCCTTGTCAGCGGAAATGGCACGAGACTTTTCATCCGTCAGGCAAAGCCATCATAACCATCCGAAACTCACCATTTCCTCTACTATCTCCCTGCGCCGTTTGTTTTCTGCCTCCACCCGAATTTCGGACTCTCGAATCCTCTTAAGATCCTCCTGAATCTTCCGTTCCTCTTCACGCTTCCGCTCCGCCTCCTGACGCTTCCGAATCTCCTCCTCCTCCTTCCGAGCCGCAGCTTCAGCGTCCGCTAGTTGCTGTTGAAGCTCCAGCAGTTTCTGCTTAGCAGTCTTCTGAGATCCGGAGGTGTTGCCAGACATTTTCGATAGAGCGTTATAGAGAGTAAAAAGTGGGAAAGGAAGAATCATCCTGGGACGTCCGCCCTTGAGTATACCTGTCCGATTCCGAACTCAGACGCTTCTCCATCATCTCGCGATAATCTCGTCCGGTCCGGACCGATGGTTCTTGTGCCTCTAGGGATCGGCCCTAAGGGGGGGATACTGTCATATCCCATATATTCACGCTTCTCTTCCGGACTTCGGACCCTGAGATCCGGTCCGGTCCGATGTATAGATCCGCTTCCGATCCGATTTACGATAAGCTTTCTAATTCATTTCCTGTTTCATATAACGTTAAACACAGCCTATTCGGTATTTCCTCTTCCCGGTGTTTCGGTTATGCTTATTACCGGTATGATTACTGATCCGTTAACCTATGTCTCATTTCCGACTCGCGTTTGATAACCTTTGCACATGCTTCGTACATAGCCTCGGACCCTTGCTTACTGATACTTCCGTTATCCTCATAGTATATAAACTCGTGTATATGTCCTGTAGTACCTCAGTTCGAATATCATCTTAGTTTGTCCTCTTTCTGTCCTCCGGACTTGAGTTCTCCTTACTCTTGTCACTCTCCGAGACTTCGGATAGATTCCGATAGTCTATATCCTCGGCTCTACCTTCGGGTAGTCTTTACTCTGTTAGTTTCTAGTTCGGATACGTCCGGATTAGCCTTATACGCGTTTCCGATATCCGGAAGACTTCCGGATATACTACGAGACCCGTCCGGACCTTCGGACGCGTTATCGTTAGTACTTTGAAATAAGGGACAGTACTTGGGAAAGGGGCACAGCGTACGAGCTGAGGCCGAAGTCCTTCGGATCCGATCTTACGAGAGTACGACCTTAACACTATACCAATATGTCGGTGGTGGGTGTTTCCGAGAAACGCGTGGCCTACATAGAAGCATGGGTGTCTGGACCGATTTAATGTAATTATCACGTAATAGAAGGTTGTTATCGATCATTGTCCCACGTACTCAATTGCCGTACATATCACAGTATATCTTGGCGCATATTTATTATGTTCTCCGACTTCATTTTCACACATATGATCATGTCTGAGCTACATGTTCGTTGTGCCACTCCAACTATGTCAAATCCTGGCGACGAAGTGTCCTCATATGCTGATGACAAACTCTCCAGCATCGATTCTACCGAGTCTCAATATCGGTGTTCTACACCTACTGACTCCCTGGTACAGGACCGCCGCGCATTGGAGGAGGATCCAATCGATTGGTGGGGCACCTATGTCCCTTTAGAGTCATGGATTCCCCCCAAATCGGAGAGCATTCCGACATTTCAAGGAATCATCGGACTGGAATCATATCCGGTGTATAAATGCAAGTTCTACATAACCCCTATTCGGCCCGGTATTCTGAAAACATCCCCATTAAAGTATATAAGTTCCGTGCCGAGCTTCCCCATTATTATGAATATCGAAGTGATTCCATGGGAAAGAAAGAGAAAAGTAAGTCGTTTGCTGGATTGCTGGCATGGTTGAACAAACCTGGTCCGCAGAATACGAACTTTGTTTCAATGGTGACTTTGATGAAGTCACAAGCATGCTGTCCGGTGAGCATGGAAAATGCTTCATCCATTTATCTAACAAATTGAATTAGACATGTATGTAACTGAATTGCTTCGGACCCCAAACTTTTTAAGAGGCCAACATTCCCGAACAATCAAAGGTCCTGTTGGTCAGTTATCTGCACAAACTGGATTTTCCAGTGACTGAACTTATGAATAGAATTAGGAGGTGCAACATCGGAAGGTTAGCACGCTGACAGCCAGGATCAAGCGAACTTATGTTGATCAATCGGAAGATTCAGCTAAATCGCAGACATCACCAAATGCCATCAGTCCGGTGATGGATTCAACAATTCTCCAAGATCCTTATGATTGTGGATGGGACGATCCGACTGTCGATGGAGCTGCTGCCGTTCACGAGTTTTCCGCACCCGATTCATACAATTGCGGATGGGAGGATGGCACCACAGCGCCGGAAGAAGCTGCGAAGCCTGGAGATGGTGCGTTTGTTCAATAACTCATGAGAATAGACCATATTAATATGATTAGGAAATGCAATATCTGAAGGTTGGCACAACCTGGCTGCCAGGAATACGCTAACTTGTGTTGATAAAATAGAATGTATGCCAAATTCACAGACATCACCGCATCCCATGGATCCGGTGCCGGATTCCATGACTCTCATCGATGATCCCTATGATTGCGGATGGGATGGTGCTATTGCACCCTCAAATCAGTTATCGATGCCTGATCCTTATGATTGTGGATGGGAGGACCAAACTGCAGCTCCGAATGAAGTCATAATGCCGGGAGAAAGTTTGTTGGTTATGTACTTCTTCACACTTCTACTAACCAGGTTATAGGATCAGATAATGATGAACCGGAGGAAGGCGAGTACTATCTTGGCAGCCAACATTTGATTACTCAACCGCAAAGCAGACTGGGCTGCATTGTCAAATCTGATGAGAAATGAAGTTTTGCAGGAACCTATACCCGCAGATGATGTATACCAGTCCGAATGGGATGATCCGATGGTGAACAGGGCGGTATCGCTAAATGAGTCTGCCGCTGCAGACCCATACGATTGCGGATGGGAGGATAGTGTAGATACCGAAGCCTCAGCAATGAATGTCTCATCGGAAGAAAGTTAGTGGGCATTTTGTTGTTTCAATCCCAACTGACAGGTTCACAGGATTGAATCCAAGCCAGGATGAAGGTATAAATCAACCTTCCTGCCAGGAAGGCCGTGATTCAACAGATGATACGGCTCATTTGTCACACTCTATTGACAATGTTAGTCAACTGAGACATGCGGGAAATCGTTCATACGAGTCCGGGTGGGATGATCCGGTTGTCCAGGAGACGGCTCTCTCAAAGTCATCGACGGCCAATCCTTACGACTGCGGATGGGAGGATGATGCTTCGTTGCCAGAAAAAACAACAACAACGGGAGATAGCACCGATGATACATATGGATGTGGGCGGCAGGACTTTGCGATGACCACAACTGCCGAGATATTTCAGGATCCTTCCGATGAACATGGGGACTATAGTGCAAATCGGCACATTGTTCCCACCGATCGGTCTAGGTCGGATTCAATAAATTCATTCAAAGTGGATGACGTTGATATGGAAAACACACTTCCGGACATTCAAAAGGACAGCACCGAGGATCTTTACGATTGTGGGTGGGACGATCCAATGGATAACACAACTATCAAGGAGTAACCGGAAGTGTCTGAGATGAGAGAGGAAATTGATGTCATTGACCTGACATCGCCAGAGGGGAGAGAAGTTATAGACCTTACATCTTTACCTGCCACCTCAAGTAAGTCATATGTGACTTGCTGCATTCTTTGCTAATGTCCGATATATACAGGGCGGTCCTCTTCACCAGCCGATCCCAATGTGTTTGAGGAGGCTGAAGAGTCCATGCGTCGAGCTATCCAACGACTAAATAGCATAGGACATAATGACTGTGAGTATGTTGATCTTGCAGCTCCATCACGCCTGACCTACACGTGAGGCAGTCGATCGATATATACACAGCATTGTCACACCAGCGGTCACACGTGTGCCTGACCCTCGGCCGGCAATCACATTCATGGCAAATCGAAGTTTGTTTGGTGCATACGCGGATGCCAAAGATCGGGTGACCTGAACTCGGTGCAGATGTCATTAATATTCACCGTTTGCTCAACATTCACCGCCGGATAATGGACCCACTAGATGCCATGATCACCGGTATAGAGCAGCGGCAGCCTCAGCATGCATTGACTCAATTGCAGTATATAATTAGTCCAAATAACTTTCAATGTTGGTGTAAAATGAGCTAGTGAGCAATACAAGGGGGCCGGACATACAAAGAACTCGACCATCTAAGGCGCGGGTGTCATAACACTCCGAAATGCCTTAGGGCTTCACATAATCATTGTACCGAGAGTTCGGCTTCCGGGAGCGCTTGCCTGCAGCAAGTTGTGAAGTCTTACTCCTCGTCCGTTTGGAGGGTGACCCATCGGTAGCTTCTTCAACCCGTTTCTTCCTTGGCTTCTCCTTAGCCTCTATTGAAGCCACTTTATCCTGTTGAACTCCTTGACATCTTTTCCATTTAGCAGGAGATCCTTCCAAACATTCTTCGGCAGTCCTTTTCTGCCCTCGAGCTTTTGCGCCGACCACAGCATCTTTGCGCTCACGAGACGATCTACCGGCTTCCATTGGTAGATCTGCCATCCGCTGCCTTGGTGCAATGGCTTTGCGTGTCACGGCGGATGCTGAACGGTCAGGGTCAGGGCCCTTTTGCACATGCTTCGGAGGGCCGTCTCTTGGCTTCTCAACTGCTGCACCCTTCTTTGATGATCTCATATCAATAGCAGCGGCCTGGATCGGAAATGCACCCTTTTTGCCTCGTGCGGGTTCAACAGACTTTTCATGAATATTTTCCTCAACCTCGCTGTCGGAGTCGTTGCTACCGCGGATCAGGACTGGACGACCTCTAAGGCGTTTTGGCACAATCGCCGTTTGGCCACTAGGAATATCATCCTCCGATCCATTGGATTGTTCAGCAAGGGACTCGTCGCTGATTGTTTGTGCAGTCGTCAGATTCTTTGTTTGATGGCCTCTTCACCTTATGATTCTTTTGTGCACGACCTGAAGCGGCGGTTCCATGTCGGATGTTCAGTTTCCGGCTCTCGTCCAGGCCCTTTTTGTCTTCGCATTGATACCGGATTGTGATCGTCCTGCTGGAGACTGCTGCCGTGGACGTGCCTGCTTCCTTGGTGGATCTGACATCTCCTTGAGCTTTCTCTTATTCTTTCTCGCTGTTGTCACTGGTACTTCCATGTCTGCAGCTAGCACCATATCCTCTTTATCATTGTCCCACCAACCGATAAATTCCAATACGCGCTCTTCGCGCTCTTCCTGTCGGTTATACCAGAACTGTAGCAGTTCCGTGGCATGGATCTGCCTTAACTTTGAAGGCTCCGCGAGATTGTGTCCTTCCGGAAGGCACTCTGTTGGAATGATCTCGCCGCATCTAGGAATGACATACTTCCATGGGATTGAAATTTTTGGATCCCCACAACATTTTCCTTTTTAACAGTGAGATTACTTCCGATAGGCAAACAGCGACCTACTGTAATGCCAAGTCAAAAATGCGCGCACAACTGCTTTCTTTGTGTCCAGATCCATAGAATCACATGCAGGGAGCACGGGATATCCGTCGTCTCCAACATCAAGGATGTAAGTCTTGTCCTGTTGACCTTTTTTGCGAGTTGCAACTGCATCGCCATCCAAGTTACCATCTAATTTTCGTCAGTCTCTGCTACACAGAAGCCGGTTTAGGACTCTACCAAATGCGCTCTCTGCATATGAATCCCATTCTGGGAGGATGGCATCCCATTTGCGAGTCTTCATGAAAGAGTTGGCACCACCATATTCATTGTTATAGTCGTGACTGCCGGAAATGTGAGAAGCTACTGATTGCATCCATCGGATCACTCACCCGGCCACATGAATCTTACCCTCTTCATTTTTCCAAGCTGACACAACAAAGACCCTCATTCCCGCCTGGTTCCACATCTTGGTTGCGAAATGATGAATCATGTCATCACTTTTTTTCCTGGCAATGTCGGACTTGACATTGTCCGGAACACCCTGACGGTTCCATATATCAGCCGTCTCTTTGGCTTCTTTGAGTTCTTCTGGGGACAAGGATGCAATGAGGAGGTTGAGCTGCTTGGTGTAATGGTTGATCATTTCTTTCGTCCCTGGCTTAGCTCCAGTCTCGTCTTGTATTGTTTTTAATAGTTCTTTCTTCTGGAGGGTGTCTATAACACTTCTTTCGGTCCATCTCTGCCCCATCTTGATAGGGGGTTTAGCCGGCTTCTTCTTCATTCCTTGGTTTTGGAACCATGTCTCGTAGACCTACTGAACATCAAAGCTTATTTGGTGCTGAAAATGATACAATACTCACCGCTTTGCGATCTTTCAGCAGTTGTATACCCATCACTGGAGCCTTTGTCCGAGCCTCAGTTGCAGCTGCTTTCAAGACCTTGTTGCGGTGTAGAAACAACAATACAATGAGGAACAAGGATGCTCCTAACTGTATCTATAAAATGTTGTGAGGTCGCGCGTTACCTAGTCTGCTATTCTTGAGGAGACAAGTGCGTTCGACCCTAGGGGAAGCGAGTGCTGCGAAGATCTAGAGGTACGCGCTTCAGCGAAGCGTGAGAAAGCGCAAGTGCGCGCAAGGTACGAAGGCGCGGGAACGCGCGCGCGTATTAGCGCGAAGCGCGGGAAAGCGCGCGCGCGTAAGCGGAAATAAAAGAGACTAAGCTTAAGTGATGATATAAAGCAATATAAGAAAAGATAGATGCAAAGTGTAGACCAATAGACTTCTACTATGTACTGCTAAGTAAATAGTGGGTGATAACTAGTAAGTTCAAGGGAAAAGTAAGGTAAATAATAGTATGTACTGCTGGCGCTTATATAGCGCGCCTAAGCGCGCTCATGCGGAGCCGAAGCGCTACCGAGTAGGTATGTAAAAATATATATGAGTGAGAAACTATGATAAAAATAAAGGTGGAACTATGCTAATAAAGGAAATGGAAATATACGCACTAGGGAGCTTGGTGGACAGTGGATGGATGCATCTGGATGGCTGGCGCTATAGGGCGCGGGAACGCGCGCGCGCGTATACATCGTGAAGCGCGGGAATGGTGCGCGCATGGCGCGCGTTGCGCGGGAAAGCTGCGCGTCATATAGGAATCACTGTGGATGGTACACAGAGTGATGCTGCGAGTTGGTGCTGTATACTCCCTAGTGTAAAGCGCCATATCACACTATGAGATGCACGAGTCTCTACATCTCCCAGGGACTTAAATTCTGAGTGTCCCCACTCAGCGTGCGCATGGTGAGGATTTTGCGTGATAGTATGTGTGCGCGATGCCTGTATGATGCTTGGGTCGTTGGGCGATGAATGCGCAAGTGCAGGAATTATTGCGTGGATGTGCGTGAAGCGTGGGAAGTTGCGCGCATGGTACGCGCAAGGCGCGAGAATGTGCGCGCGCTATGCGTGAAGGCGCGGGAATGAAGCGTAGCATGGTGGATTGCGAGGGTGACTCTGATGTGAATAGTGTGCCATGGGTGTGGGGTGATGATGCAATTGGCGATATGGATGTGGTGTGCGAAGCGTGAGTGAGACGCGCATGTATAGCGTGAAGCGCGGGAAAGCGCGCGCGCACAAGGCGCGAGAATGCGCGTGAGTGTCGCATGTGTTGTATGCTGTGAGGACCTGTTGTGCAATGATCCTGGAGTCCAGTATGCGTGCGTGGGTGTGATGTGAAGTGGCGCGGTCCAAGAGCAATCCAATCCATGTCCAAACCAAGTCCTGCTAGGCGTGCTAAATATTAGATGCTAAAGAGTTTGAACAGTGTGAGTAAAACTATATGTGAAATGCAAAGGAAAAAACAGTAACTTTGCGGATGTCCTATCCGACTTGTCTTCTTCGTGCAACTGTCAACATCTACACCTTCCTATGAGCGAGGTGCGAGAAGTGCGCATGTGCGCGCGCGCGCGCGAGGCGTATGGGCGCGGGAGGTTTGCGCGTATGTGCGCGTGAGCATGGGAAGACTGCGCGCATATGTGCGCGTTCTAAGGTAAAAAGGGCATGGTGCCGTGTCATGCGTGCGAAGAGAAAATAATACTATTGAGCTAGGCGGGCACAATCTAAGGTTGTTTTCTTGTTTTTGGCGACTCCTATGTGCATATATATCAGTAAGTTATTAGTTCTTTGGATGGCGTTATAATGAGAGAAAATAAAATGAAAGAGCGCTGGATGAAACCCAGGGTAAAACGAATGGTATCCTATGAAACAGCGATGGTATACGTTGTTCTTTGATGCGCAGCTGAGGCGCTTGATCCTCCTCCTTGAGCGCGTGCGAGTGCGCGTAATAGCGCACTTCGCGTCTCTTGCGAGCTAACGCGTTACCCAAGGTAGGGTTGGAATGTGTGAGGCTGGCGCGCTTGGGTGGGCTTGTGACTGGCAGAATGAATTCCTGCACAACGCGCTGCAGGTTGAAGGCGCGCCAATGGGAGGCGCAGCAAGGGGTGTAGAGGCGCCCTACAAGCTGATAGGATGCGCGCGATGTGCGCGCCTTGGCGCAATTTCGCGCGAATTTGATTATATTGGCCGAACACGCGAGGAACGGCCATTTCTCTGCAAATTCATTAGCGAGAGACATGTATAGTGAAGAATTAGGCGCAAATGTTGCGCCAATGGGCTGTAAGGGTGGTATATCAAGGCGCAATAGGCGCATAGGTGAAGGAGAATAGTGCGCATCAAGGCGCGCAGGAACGAAATTGACATGGTAAGCAAAAGTGCGAAGAATGCGAATAAATGTGCGAAGTGCGAAGTTAAAGGTGATGATAGGGGGGTTAGGCGCATATGTATGTGTCAGGCGCGCGCCTATGTCGCGCCTGGATGTCTGATTGGAATATACCTTGTGTTGAATGACAGAAATGAAATTTAAAAGGGGAGAAGCGATAGAAATGCGGTAGCGTGAAAACTCTGCTAAATTTATGAGTGCACGAGGCACGGGAACGCGCGCGCATATTGCGCGATGCGCGTGATCATGGCGCGTGAACAAGGGGTGGTGAGAAGATGAAATTAAAGTGTTTGGAATCATCATATAGCTCCTTAAGAGCTTCAAACGTGAAAAGGACAAAAAGCGCGAAACAAGATGAGGGTAAATATACACTGCCTCTAGGCGCGCGCATTGCGCGTCCTTAGGCGCAATATGGTGCGCCTGAGACGCGCCAGGGTCGCCTGAGACATGCTCTGCTTGATGGTTAGGTGGTGTGATGCATGGATGTTTTACCGGCGCGCGGTAGTCACTAGAAGCAAAGAGCGCGATGTGCGCGTGATCGTTAGTGACAATTGGAATTACCAGAGACAAACTCTGGTTGATGCAAGATGCGACTTGAGCCTCCGGTGTGGCAGAAGGCTCCTCTATAGGCGCGCTAAGGCGCGATAGATATTTAGGGTCATCCCTGACCTCTGGTGATGCAAGCAGTGATGGTGATGGTGCGATTGGCGAGGTTTCTTCCGTAAGCGATGCAATAGCGAGGGGCGAGCATGTTTCTAGTGGTGCGTTAGTGTGCAATGGATGTTTAGAGTCATCCCTGACTTCTGGTGATTCGATAGCGGTAGGCGCGTGCGATGCGATAGCGATAGGCGCGCGCGATTCGAGCGATGGCGCGTTAGTGTGCAATGGATGTTTAGAGTCATCCCTGACTTCTGGCGAGGTGATAGCGATAGGCGCGCGTGTTTCAACTTGCGCGTTAGTGTGCAATAGATGATTATAGTCATCCCTGACTACTGATGCTGTGATTGGTGATGATGATGTGGATAATGATGGAGATTGTGAAGGAGATGGTGCTGATGATGAAGGTGAAGAGGCGCCTGCAGCGCGCTTTGCGAGCGCGCGCTCGAGTTCGTGATCTAAAGTGATGCATTCTGGTATACCTTTGTATGCTGGCGCAGTTGATGGTTGAGGTGCGCGTGATTCGCACGAAGGCGCGGGAAAGGCGCGCGCGCGAGGCGCGTGAATAGGAACTGGTGGCCTTTTGTCAAGTACAGCTTCTGAGGGTGCGCGATAGAAGAGTCCAGCTGTTGCATTAGCGCTAATGGTCGTATCCTGCGTTGCGCGACTCGCGTGGTATTGATCTTTGTACTTAGCCACTTTAGCTTGCACTGGCGCAGTTGCTGTGACTAAGGTGGCAATTGGTGCTACTATGGGCGCGCTAACTGGCGCGCTTGGCGCGGGAAAAGTGCGCGCAGGTAATAGGAACTGCGCAGCTGCGAAGACGTCCATGAATGGGTATGGGTCGTATGGGTGGTGGTCAGGGAACTTGATCATAAGGCGCAAGCGGATTTGCGCCTGAGCATCGCTAGGGATTCCTTCCATGAATAAGTGGTCGCGTTCGGCCTTTCCAATACGGTCTTCATCCATGAGTGGCTGCATAATCTTCCTGAATGCGCGCAGGTAATTGCTGAGTTCTGTGTAAGAAGGCATCGGTTCGTTAGCGTATTCGCGCGCGATGGCGCGCAAGTCTGCGAGCGCATAGCGTCTTTTACCATCCCATCCAGGATACATTACCTTCACCTCATCTAAAAAGGCGCTGTAATCATCTACTGCCGCTTCAGGCATGCCTCCCCATAGTTCTCGATCATCGCGCGCAAGGTAGCGGATAATACCTTTGATGCGGTCGAGTCCTTGGAGTCCTGCTTCATCAGCGAGCTGCTCATAGGTATCAATAAACTCGGCGAGGTTGTCTGTAGTGCCGTCGAACTTGGGCGCGTTTGCTGTGCCGCAGATGGGCAATCTATAAGGCATTGAGGTGTGAAAAGGCGCAGGCGCGCGCGAGGCATATAACAGGTGCGCGTGTAAGGCGCAGAGGCGTGGGAAAGCGCGCGCACAAGGCGCGAGAATGCGTAACTATAAATTGGTTAGCTTTTTGAATTTGCAAAGAAATTGACCTTATATGCGCGAATTGGTGTGAAGTGCGAAGATGCGCTGAACTAGATCTTGCTGACTGCTCCCCTCGCGGTGGGCTCCAGTTGTAGAAACAACAATACAATGAGGAACAAGGATGCTCCTAACTGTATCTATAAAATGTTGTGAGGTCGCGCGTTACCTAGTCTGCTATTCTTGAGGAGACAAGTGCGTTCGACCCTAGGGGAAGCGAGTGCTGCGAAGATCTAGAGGTACGCGCTTCAGCGAAGCGTGAGAAAGCGCAAGTGCGCGCAAGGTACGAAGGCGCGGGAACGCGCGCGCGTATTAGCGCGAAGCGCGGGAAAGCGCGCGCGCGTAAGCGGAAATAAAAGAGACTAAGCTTAAGTGATGATATAAAGCAATATAAGAAAAGATAGATGCAAAGTGTAGACCAATAGACTTCTACTATGTACTGCTAAGTAAATAGTGGGTGATAACTAGTAAGTTCAAGGGAAAAGTAAGGTAAATAATAGTATGTACTGCTGGCGCTTATATAGCGCGCCTAAGCGCGCTCATGCGGAGCCGAAGCGCTACCAAGTAGGTATGTAAAAATATATATGAGTGAGAAACTATGATAAAAATAAAGGTGGAACTATGCTAATAAAGGAAATGGAAATATACGCACTAGGGAGCTTGGTGGACAGTGGATGGATGCATCTGGATGGCTGGCGCTATAGGGCGCGGGAACGCGCGCGCGCGTATACATCGTGAAGCGCGGGAATGGTGCGCGCATGGCGCGCGTTGCGCGGGAAAGCTGCGCGTCATATAGGAATCACTGTGGATGGTACACAGAGTGATGCTGCGAGTTGGTGCTGTATACTCCCTAGTGTAAAGCGCCATATCACACTATGAGATGCACGAGTCTCTACAGCGGTCCGATACCTCAGCCGAGTCCCATTGCTCAATGTAGGACTGCAGGATAGCGACCTCATCTTCATTTAATGCAGGCTGTTTGTTAGATTCAGATTCAGAGCCAGAGTCGTGATCAGACATTATATACTACGGAGGATAGTGATAGGATGTACTGGGGTGTGATGGTGAGTGTGTGTTTGTTAAATGTTTGTAATAAGAGCATTTATGTGCCCTCCCTTCATTTCGGCTATTAAGCGAGCAGAGGTTGCTGCTGTAATTCTACTGTCCTATATTTCACACAACTTCATACCACGTTCATGGGTAAATCTAGGGTAAGGATATTGAGTCCTCTCAGAACAGTTCAGCTGGTCGAATGGAAAGTAAAAAAGACCAGTCGGGGCCAGAAAGGCAAATGGTGTCCGGTGAAACGACACCAGCCAAGTCAATCCGCACAGTCATCTCCAACAAAGTCTCCCACAAAACAAAGCTCCAGTACGATGCTCCCTCAGTACACACCCGACTTCACTTTCCATAATGCAGACTGGAGTGATCATGGCCCTATTGGTTCGCTTAACGTGTTGTTAGCAAAAAAAAAGACCAAGGTATGATACTCTGTGTTCTTCACCCGTTCAAAGCTGACCAGGATCTCAGAGCCCAAACGATTATCTCCGGGAATGGATGGCTCGGAAGGACGATTACCTTCGAGTCCTTCTAGAACGGGAGGCTCCGCCTTCGAACAAGTGTTGTTCGTTATGCAATGCAGATTCGGTGGTGTACCGGTGCCACGATTGCCTCGGTGATCCCATGTTTTGCATCAAATGCTGTCAAGATGAGCATAGACAATTGCCATTTCACAAAATAAGCAAATGGAACGGGAGCTTTTTCGAAGCGACATCATCGACGAAGATCGATATGGAATTTCATCTGGGGCATAGTGGGCTTCCGTGTCCGTGTCTCAAGGATATCCATGAATGGGAGGACTTAGAAGAGCCCACTTGCGAACTGTCCTCTGACTACTCAGCAACACTGGAGCTGCCATTTCTACATGCAAAAGAATGCACAACAGTTATTGACAAATCCAGAGTCCATTCGCTCCTCATCAGGTATTGTAAATGCCCAAATGCCGCTTCCCCGGACAGGCAGCTGTTTGCAATGGGCATGTTTCCGGCATCATTCAGTCGGCCCAAATCGGCATTCACATTTTCTGTACTGGATAGTTTTCTCCTCAACAACTTGGAATGCGGGACGTCTGCTATGAATTACTACTCTAAATTAAGGCGAATGACATCTAGCACATTTCCGCATCTAGTCCCTGTATGTCTGAGGTGCCGGTTGGTCATCATCGTATTAACTGACCTCCGGACAGGACCGGTATAGGGAATTAATGCGGGTTGGAAGGCAATGGCGTCAACTGAAACTTCTGAAATGGAATGGCTTTGCTCACGAGAGAAGACTTCCGGATCCAGGTGAACTTGCCCTATTTTGCCCCACCTGTCCGCAACCCGGTATCAATGCACCACAGCCAGCCGAAAGAGACAGCAACCATCCGGATTGGATATACGCCAGATCACTAGTGATGGATGGTAATTTTAAAGCAGAACATCTCCATCCTACTCGTCCGGAAGATGAAGTATGGTTGACCGATGGAAGGTGTTTCATGGTGACCAGAGAACAATACAAGATGCATCTTGCTGGTGCCAAAGAAAATGCGCACATGTCGGAATGTAACAACCATCGGGCTGTAAATCAAGCAAATGCTTCCCGACACAAACTGGAAGCTACAGGAATAGGTGGTTGCGCATGTGCTCGACATGGCTGTTTTGTCCCCTATTCTATTGTCGATTTTCAGAAAGGCGAAAGGTAAGATCACGCATGTCACTCATTATCATAAAACCTCACATCGGAGATTAGACACATGAACATGGACTACGCTCTATGTCACGCTTTGAGCCATAATACCGATGGACTCAGTCAAGCTTTGACATTTTATGACGTTAATTGCCAATATAACAAATTTTTGCGGCGCAGGGTAAATGACAGTTCACACTTGAGCATTCCGGCCGGTATGGAGATAGTTCCGGGAATAGGACTTTGGCATGTCCATGGTCATCAGGACAAATGCTATGTCCGGTATGCATCCACCTTCATCACAGGGGCAGCCAGGATCGACGGGGAGATCATGGAGACATTGTGGGCGCCCCTGAATATCATATCTCCCTCTGTGAGAGGGATGTCCACTCCCCATCGACAGGAATGTCTTGACTACCAAATGAACGACTCAAATTTTATGAAAATGATCAGAATGAGTTGAGATATATTCTTCCTTACATATCTAATACTAACGCTCTCCAGGTGGTTTCCTATGTCGGAAATATCGAGAAGCAGTGAAGGGAGTGTCCGAAAGCATGACGGCATTTGAGAAGCTGAATGAAACCGTGGATTCTGCCATGGTCGAAGCTTGGGTGGAACAAGATCGAGAAGCACAATTGCATCAAAGCACGGATCCATCGGCAATGGACATATTCGACGTCCAGCTGCAAAAGGGTGAGTCACGGCCGATATACGTCCGATCTGCACCATCAGTGATCAAATTTTTATAGCACCGACCAGGAAACAGCAAGAGTTGGCTTTACTGTCTTCTTGGACCGGTAACGGAGGAGGGCACGCAAAATGCGGTGTTGCTACGTGGATCGCATCCGGTATCACTATAGAAGAGCTGCAAATATCTCTCTTGATCGACATCCGGAGGTTGGGAAAACACTCCACCGAAATGCAGCTCCTGGAGATAGTGAGACGTCGTACAAAGCTGCAAAGTAGGATAGATGAATTTACAACCACGGCAGTCAATCATTTCGGAGAAGACTTTGATCTGGATGACGATATCAGAGATCTCGAGGTTGAATTTATAGATGACTCAGAGGGTGAAGGAGACGTGTTTACCGAGAGTGACCATGATTCCGACCATGTCCCTCAATGCAATTTCTTCCGTCCCGAGAAGGTGGTTATACCTCTCCCATCGAATATTGGCATCAAAAGGTGTACTGAGCTGGGCGTCATCCACCTTGTGGGTCAGGAAGTTGCACTTCGGGAAGGGCAGGCCAATGACACCCTGCAAGCAATCCAAGTTCTGCTAGCTGATAAGGCTGTGCTCTTCCGCGCCACAGTTCATCCGGCCAAATCCCAGGCAAAGTCAACCAGGGCGTGGACTCAGGTACATTCGGTGGAAAGGGTCATCAGACAGCAAACAATGATTTATTTGAAATGCCGGGCGCAACTCGGCAATCTACAAGCTCACAACCTCTTAGAGAAATATCTCCGGATGGAGAGAAGTCATCTCAAAGCTACTGCCGCTGTAGCCGATCCCAATGCTCAGGGACAAAGAAACTCCACGCTTCTGTGGTTCTGGTCTCTTGATGTTCAGGGAGATTCTGTCAGCAGCGATTGGATGAATGAATGTCTGTAACGGTTCACTTATTATGTTAACCCATCAATGACAGGGCACAGTTTACAGGGTTCATTGGCTTTGCACGAAAGCATTGCGTGATCGGTGGTCGGAAGAACTGCTACTGGTTGGCCATGAAATGGGTTGGACTGTGCAGTTCTTCCTGCACAAGGCACGCTCATGGTTATCACGCATCACCCACAACGGCGATCCACTCCCAGAAGGGCACAAATGTTATGCAATTCGGCAGGCCCACATGTACCACGACTTGGCCGAACATGCACGTGCAAGTTTTCTAAAGGCAAATCCAAAGTTCACAATAAATGCTTGATTGTTGAATGTATAGTATTATTAGTTGATCGTAGCATAAATAATATATGTCATTCAGGATGCATTAGATCTACCGGTCCGGGCACAATCATTTGAACAATGGAAATTGTTCATTGTGAATTACATTACCGGATGTGGATTTTGAATCTCCGACAACACATATAAACCAGGAGGTCAGGCCCGGTTGTATCTCCCTACTGTTGTTATCATATCAGAAATCATGACCGACCAGATTCCTGCACTCTCTGAGTCTCGTGTCGGCGCGTTGTCCATTTGGGATGCAGCCCATGTGTTCAAATACGCCACCTCCAGATTCACTGCGATCCATATCGCCCAGATGACAAAGCAGAACCCATCAAGCGCTTACCGGCATTCATTTATTCAACACCTGATTTGGGAAGTGGATGTAAGTTCATTTCCAATCCTGTGCGGACCACTTGACTAATCTGGAGTTCCAGCGGTTTGTGACGCCGTTTGTCGGCATGTGCGCAGCTATGAATATCAATACAAGTATGCCGACATATCTCAGAAATGTTCTCTGGCTTGCTGCTACCTACCAAACAGAAGGTGATTGCATCAATCTCTTTGAGAACTTCTGGAACTGTCCACATGACGATGCTGGCGATGCAATATCTGGCCATCGCATTGTTCCAAGATACCGGCACTGTTGTTGGACAGCCGCATTCCATTATTTGCCTATGCAAATGCCTCTGCGGTTCTCGGTAGCCGAGGTGAAGGACCTAACGGCTGAGCACTTCAAACAGCGGGTAAGTGATCCTGAATATACTTCAGTATAGATGCTGATTGTTATGCACAAATAATCAGCCTGCCTTGGGGTTGATGATGCCTGAACCGATCATCCACCCGCGCAGTGAGGACCCGCTGCTTCAACAACTTCAAGTGCTCCGGACTGAAGTCACCTGACTCGGTCTCGACCTTGGCCACCTCCTTGTCAGTAAGCTCGAGGCCACCGGAGCAGCTGTGGATGCAATGAATCGGCTGGAGCAGCCGGTAGACGAGGTCCGTGACACAATGGCAGCGTCCCATGCGGCCGTGGCCTTATTGGAGCAGGATTACAACAATGGTCGGATAGGAACATCCCCTCGTGGAGATCCATTCCCTGAGTTACATCCCTTTGTACGCTGACGCAGAGCCATTATGTAAATAGTCACGGAAGCGAATTTTATGTGTAGTAAAGTGATTCGTTTGTATGTAAATATTATGTAGCCTATCTCCGGCATCTATGAAAATGTTACAACGGGATGACACGCGCCGTTCCTATACCCCCGGATGCCTCGTGTTTGCTATCAATAATATTGAGGAGTGTGATATTTTACATCATAAAGACAACCGCAGGTTGGACATTATCTGTATAAGATGCTAGCTGTGCTTGCAGGACTTACCGTGCTTCCACCATGATATCCGATGAGTATTGGACTACCTACCATGAAAAACTGGCTGAGAGTGATCTACATACGCACACAACGTCATTCATTCCACGGGATTGGGCTCTGAATGCCGTCGACATAGCAAGTGAATGGGTAGAGCAGCAGTTCGCCGCGCATGTTGCCGGGAGACCTCTTGTTCCTACGCCTCCGGAACTCGATCCTGAAACTGTGCTTGCTTGCGGACACCTAGCCTTTGTGCTGGCGGAAGCATATCAACATCCCAGTGAGTTGAGGCATTGATTATTGCTACTCTGCTCTGACAGATGTAGTCAAATTGGATATCGATATCATTAGGTACAACGAGGCCTTGGCCAAACGGGAGTCAGGGTTGAATGACGCTTGTGAAGAAGCATTGTTGGCAAAGTTTCCTCCTGCCGAACGCATGTTCTTAGATAGCCCATCGGTGGTGATTGACGCTGGTTACCGGATCATTCTATGGTATCTCCCGGGTGCGTTGAATTGGTCTCTGCAGGTGGGCGGAGATTCGTTCAAAGATGACATGACACTGACCAAAGCACGTAAAGCGAGATATGTTCATTGCCACAGTCGGTATGGGGGACTTGTTGAGAAAAAGCATCACCACCGGAAATGAGTCAACCGGCAGGACAAGCAAATGGCGGACCAACAATTCCAACTTCCGCGCAGCCATGGAACCTGGTTTGATTCCCGGGTGCATCAATATTTCTCCCTGCTGGTTCCAACAGGGGCGGGAGGTGAGCACAAGTTTCGCTGTAATCACGTCATCCTGAATGACAGTAGTGTCAAGGCCCACCATCTCGGGATCCCGGGAAAAGGTTCATACCGGAAGTTTTGGGTACCCTTAAAGGCGATAGCAATCTCTCTTCAATTATGGATATGCAGCGGCCGGCTCTCCTGTCATCTGCTGCCCTTCGGGTGATGCATCCGCAATTATACTGGGCCTCGATGTCCACTCATGTTAAACTTGGGCTTTGGGCAGTGGAGCAAGGGCAAGATGAGATGTACCGCTGTTTGCAACATTGGGCGTCGGCATATACCGGTGCCGCTGTTGTATGCAACAGAGACACGCCGGGTCATCGTGATCCCAAATGCCCTCCGGAAGGATTTGACATTCTTACTTCTATCGGAAGCTATGACAACGCAGTCATGAATCTGACAAATTTAGGAATTGATCTAGCTTATAATCCGGGCGTCATGGTCAGCTATTCTGGCCGACTTGTGAGGCACGGCATCCAGGTTAGTGAGGGCGATAGAATTGTATGGGCCTGGTTTATGCGGGATAGCGTGCACAACCATGCTCGAACTCCCCGTACAGAGTATGCAAAGTACAATTTGGCCGACTTCGCTATGTACCACCTTGCCAGATACAATCAGGCTGATTTTGTTCGGTACCGGACATAATCGTACTGAATGTTTATGAATCCCTTTCGTGTACCCGCTATATCCGTATATTTTACAAATGTATAAATTTGAGGATATCACAATGTTGCCGACCATACGATTTCATCATTGGTTGGAATTCCGACATTGCCATTGTCATAGCTTCTGAGATGGTGCGGTCGGTATGCTTGGTTTGTCAAGCCAAGTTTGCCTCTGATTTATTTGAAATCATTACACCTCCTTCCTGTAATACATATATATATATCCGAGATCGTGATGATCTGCTTACACATGAGGGAACTTGAGCGGTTATTTGGCCCTCTCGGCCTTCATACATACATATGTACACACATGGTGATATAAATATATACTACATTTATTTGTTTCTCGGGATATGATATATTATCTACATGGGCAGGTCACTTTGCACAGTTTGCTATCAGGACATCCAGCTGTGTCATAATGTGGCGGTGGACATTGAGTAAATGGTGGACAGTTGCAATGTCCTCACCCAGTTCCGCCACTCTGTTTCTTGCCTCCATGTGAGCCCCGATACTGCCTTGAGTCCCGAAGGAGGTTGGTGTTACAAGTAACATCGGCTACATGGCCCCCCTATCATTTTTCCCCTTCGTCCTCGCCCTCGTATGCCTCCGGCTCGTACTTCTCTACCGACTATCCGTTGACCGGATCCTCGGGACCGTTCCCGTCCCTCATCCCCCTCCTATCGCACCAACGTGCGCACGTGCCTTCGGGCTATGACTCGTTCTGACTCGTGCCACCAATGTGGCTTTCCTTATCTTGTCTTATCTTTCCTCTGACTCATGCGTGCTGTGCATTGTATCATTTACCATTGGCTCGTTCCAACGTTTCTCGGTCTCATTCCGCATTCGACCTCACATCACTAATCAGGCTCTGCTACCAGCGTACCTATACCCTTTCCGTTTCCCCTTTGCCCTTACCTACAGTACGGTAGCCTTGCCCTTAACCCTTTCCACTTAGTATAAGTAGTCGGTCACTCTGTACTAGATTCCCTAACTTGAATCTACTCAATCTTCCCTCGAACATACTTCCCTCTGAAGCCCCCTCAGCTTCAGTCTCTAGTATCTTTTCTTATGTGCTCATCGCGCCTAAGTCTACCTCGATCGACTACTCATCGTTCGGACAAGACTGTCCTTACTTTGAGAACATCAGTGACTTTGAAGACATCCGTCTTAGAAGTCACGTGACACGCACGTCTCTGATATCTGCCGACTTGTCGTCGCCAGTCTCAGTCGCTACACCGGACCCTTCCGGTTATGTCACGAACGTTAGCGGACGACGCCCCTCTTAGGGCTCCGCATAACAGATCTATTTGAGTGCGTAACAGTCGGTATCAACATGGGGTCGAGGACATGCTTGGCAGTTGTTGCAATGCTGTTTGCATTGTGATGAACTACCGAAGATGTCAACGGCAGTCGCTCTACAATCTGAACACTTACTATTGTTAGGCCAAATGTCATGCAAGATTCGGATCGCAGACCTCATAGAGTGTTCTGCATGCTTGAAGACATTTGTTTCATTGTCTTCTAGCAACCTCGGCCAATGCTCTACAGAAAATCAGGCATTATGATACAATACATGTATGGAAGCATTTACCTGCTTGCTCACCGGAAGAGGCAAATGCATTCACTGCGTTACTGCCGGTGGCAGTTTGTCTGCTGACTTCCGGGGCAGCCCATCCACAGTCATACGGATCATCCCCTGCCGATCCTCCATCTTCGGATGCTACTATGCCAACATATTCCTCCGTCACATTTGAAGAGGCTTCTGTCGCATTCATATGGTTGTCCCATCCACAGTCGTAGGGATCCGCTGCCGGCTCACCCGATTGCAGGATGGCCTGGTCATCCATCGGATGATCCCACCCACAATCATAGGCATCTGCTGCCGGCTCACCCGATTGCAGGATGGCCTGATCACCCATCGGATGATCCCATCCGCAATCGTAGGCATCTTCTGCCGACTCACTCGATTGCAGGATGGCTTGATCATCCATAAGATGATCCCAACCGCAGTCATAAGCATCTTCCGCCGACCCACATGATTGCGGGATGCCTTGATCATCCATATGACGATCCCACCCACAGTCGTAGGGATCTTCCGCTGACTCGGCCGAACTAGGATCATCCCATCCGCAGTCATAGGAATCGCCATACCTTGTTCCGGGTGCTGTCTCCGCGTAGGTGGAACATTCCCCTCCGGGTAAAGTTACTTGCGGAGTCCGGGCAACATTTCCGGATGTTTGCCGGCATTCCATAGCATACATGTCTTGCACCATTTGTTGAGTGATGAAAGAACCTTTGGGCTAATGGGAGACTCACCGGCCAGCATACTCCCTATCTCGTCGAAGTGGCCGTTGAAACAAAGGTCGTATACTATGATGCATTGTCCGGTGAGTGAAAATCATTGCTCTCGAATGAACGAACTCACCTTGATCCCTTTGTGCGAACAAATCATTAAGCTTTTCGTGGTCGGTAAGAAACTCTTTTGTCAAGTCGTATTCTGTTGTTGCACCGTTGTTAGTATTCCGGCAAAGACAAAGCCGTTCTTACTTTTAAACTTCGGATAGTTTTCCAATCCGACAACTCCTTTCATCCTGGGTTTCCTCGACAATGCAGGAGGAGTCCACAACTCCAATGGGACGTAAGAGCCCAACCAGTCGATCAGACCCTTATCAGAAGCACGCCCTAGCGCTACCGGACCATCTTCGCTGGCATCGCTGCTGTAGGTAGAGCAGGTGGAGGCGATATCGCCAAGATATGGCTCTTCGGGAGTAAGAAACCTAACTTTTTTGAAGGTCATGATGGTCTGGTTCGATGAAGGGAGTCGATGATGATTGCAATACAAATCGACCGGTGCCACTGTGGTAACTCAATGTAGTGGAACAATGGTAGATGTGGCATACTATTACGTCATAATGAAATCCATGGGTCGTGCATCAACAGCACTCGGAAAGAGCCACAACTGACTCATGAATATAAATCCCGACCCGTGTGCAAGTTTTTCAAAGTCCACTTTTTGTTCCTTCCGTTATACCATAACACCCATTAACCTACAACATTTTATTTTTTTAATTTCATCATGACACCCGCTGATACAGCTAATGAAGCGCTGGATACTACGCTGGCGGCCATGCAATTGCTGATCAAGCGGTGCACGTTGTTGGAGTCTGGCTATCCAGAGGCCCTCAGAATCTCGGATGAGATTGCCAGACACGTGGTGAGTACTTTTTCTTGCTCGCACTTCATTATCTCATCGATATTAACACATTCGCCGTAGGCGAAAGACTTAAAACTTCATGGAGGGAATGCGACATCCTGTTCCCCGCAGCTACTGTCATGCGCTGCTGTTGTGCGAGAGTGCTCAAAGGCTGGCACTTTTCAGACAATGCCGGATTGGACATCCGTGATAGACAATGATCTGAGAATCAAGGGTCACCCGCGGTTCAACAAGACGCTAAACTACCGCTCTCGCGCAGCAGATGAGATTCCCATTCTTTTGGATTCTGAACCGGTGACATCGTCCGGAACTCATGCGGCCGTCCATTTTGCACCGTTGGCCATAGCGCCTCCACCCACCTTGTCTCCTCTTCCCATAGATAGGGCCTTTGTCAATAGTCCTTCACAGGCAATTGCACCGCCATCGCCTTCTCCCACCTCAATGGCGCTGGAACCTCTGACCCCGCTTCCCGTGTCCGCAGTTTCTATCCCCTCCAAATATAACCTATTTGTGCCAGGGACAAAGAACGCTAAGACAGCACCAAAGGCCGGAAACAGGAAGAAGAGGAAGGCAGAAGATAACAGCGCGGAAGAGGTGAAATTGGGGAACATACCGAATGCTCCATCTCGGTTGGGCAAGTCGAGTCAGAAGAGAAGCAAGCATGTATCGGGTGACGACCGGAATGAGCATACTGACATCACCTCTGTCATAGAGGTAAGTCCCGTTATCCTAGCTCAGGCACTGGTGACCCACCATTCTTATTGTTCCCTCTGATAAGAATGTGGCACTGGAACGTTCAGATTCGACCGAGATGGCCGATGAGAGAGGTTTCTGGGATGCAGAGACCAGGGTGTGTTAACTCCATTCCACCTACCACCGATTCTGACTTTGATATTGACAGCCCGTTGAATGGGGTAGGGATTCTGCTATCGCCACGGCAGCAGAGGTAAGCCAGTGAGTTTGTGCATACCAATCTTAGCTAAAACATGCAAAGTTTTCCGTTCATCACCACCCGCAGAAGTGTGATAAGTGTAGCAAATCGGGGGTGCCCTGTCTTGTCCTTCCGGACAAGAAATTTGGATGCATTCGACTTGCCTGCGCTAATTGTGATGAAATGAAGGTCACATGTGCAATCAACGGAGTTGGTGTCCGGGAGAGAATGCAAGCGAAAGCCAAGGCCATGGCAGCCGAGGCAGTTGCCAATCCTACCAGATGCTCCAAGTCGCGTGCTCCGAAGTCCCGAGTTATTAACAAGACGGTGGTTAATACTAGGTCCCAGAAGACGCCCATGCCGCCCAATCGGTCATTGTCTGTAGTTGAGGACGATATAGTAGAACATGAAGGTGAGTGTTGCCGTGGCACCAATGGTACAGAAAACTTAAGCAGCTTCAGATTTGGCCTTGGCGGGTGAGCCGAAGTACATGGATGTCACGCCGGCTCAAGCAGAGGTTCTGCCAATCCCAACAATGGGCTCATCCGTGTCCGTCGAGCCCCAAGGACAATCAGTAGCACTCGTGAATCCTGCGGAATGTGAGCCGACTGCAAGGGACATCCTGCAGAGCATTCAAGACCTGGGCAGGCGACTTGATGGTCTCGCTACTAATGACAGGGTTAATAATTTGGAAGAACGACTCGATTCGATGGAAGAGGTGGTTGGGCGGCGGTTGGACGTACTGGAGCGAAAACTCAGATACTCGGATTCGGAATGGAAAGCAACATCGTCATCGCTCGGACATTTAACCATGTCCCTTCGGGATCATATGGATGATCTGACCGCACACCGTCCTCGGATCGACACCACTGCGTATGCTCCCCCTCACCATGGGAATGTGCACCTTCCGGCTTGGCTAGCTAATCACGATGACGATCCTAACATCTCTGCTATCGGTAGACAGTGGACTCACACGTGGGATGCGTCCATTTTGACTGGTGTCCACGGCCATGTCGGGACTTCTGCATCTGCTGCACACATCGCCGAAACTCCGGATCCTGCAGTTTTGCCGGTTGATGCGGATGCATGCGTTGAGCTCTGCAGTGAACTTTCAACTATATCCAATTGATAGGTATCGGATCCTGACACTCATAATCGTATTACTGTCTTTACTTGTTTTCATTACATACCGTTGTTGCACCTGGCAACGCTCACCTTTTTAATATTGAAGTCAAGCGCCACTGGAAAGTGTCAAGGATATCATGCCGCAGAAAGATATGAGTTCTTAATAAGCACAGTATTGAATGGCACACGAGTGTTCCCTGGTCACCTTGTGCGAATCCAGGAGATACATAGATACACTGGAATGTGTTATGAATGGGTACATACCGTTCCTGCTTTATATTACACTTCGGCCATTCATGCACTCACCAGGCCCCGTATCAGCAACCGTTCATCACTACTTCCTGCTCCGAATGATAGCTATGCATAACACGTTCTCACTCGAATAGTACACAGGTTGAAGGATGTTTACCCCATCCACTACCCTTCCGCCACACTCTGGAAGAGGCGAGCTCGACGCAATTAGATTTACACTCATGTCCTGAATAACTGCTTTCAGCTGCCGCTCATCATATCTGATCGGCCCAACTGTTATTTTCTACCGGACCGATTGGACATCCGATGTGCCCATTTGTAACACCTTCCGGTATCAGATTTATCGATTTGTGTTCTATCCGTTACCTTATCCTAAACTATCGCAGATATATCCGGCCCCAAAATCGAGTTCCGTTATTCCTAACCCCTCCGGGAATCGTAGGTATGTTCATTTGAGCTACAAGATAACAAGCTGGCCCTTCTGTATGATCTTCTGGCCATACAACACTACCTGAACCCAATAGCGATCCCTTCTGTAATCAAATCTATATTTCCTTCGGCCAATTATAACTAGCTAGGCCATCCTTCAACCTTCCTAGATTCGAGATTCTCCTGTATCCTACATCACATGATAATGCGCCTATATATATTCATCTGACGCTGAGCCCTGCCGTCAGGTCTGCCAGTGCTGAATACATATTTCTTGCCCCCAACATCACTCCGTAAGTCCTTCCAAGCTTAATTGGGTATTCTACTGTGAGTATGAATAACTGGGATTAACTGTCAGCCATTCCAAGATCCGCATTCATACTGCCGCGTACAACTCACTGGGCTGGACTGGCAGTCCTGAAAATGCACATGAAACTGCCCTGCTGAGATCACCTTTGCATCAAGTTGGGTCGAAATAACTATAGGCCAACCGCATTCTTCCTATATTTTCTTGGGCCGAAAATAGTCAGCCAGTTGTTCCGAAATCATACACCCCATTGCCTTGGGCCGACACATGGCTGGCCCTTCCGACATGAAATACGCTCAACCGTCGGCCCATAGCAAGACTATATTGGCTGGAACATGATATGCTGGCCCTTCCGAGATTAAATGCACCCACCTATTGCCTTGGCCTGATGTATGGCTGGCCCTTCCGACATGAAATATGCTCAACCGTCGGCCCATAGCAAGACTATATTGGCCGGAACATTATATGCTGGCCCTTCCGAGATTAAATGCACCCACCTATTGCCTCGGCCTGATGTATGGCTGGCCCTTCCGACATGAAATATGCTCAACCGTCGGCCCATAGCAAGACTATATTGGCCGGAACATGATATGCTGGCCCTTGCGAGATTAAATGCACCCACCTATTGCCTCGGCCTGATGTATGGCTGGCCCTTCCGACATGAAATACGCTCAACCGTCGGCCCATAGCAAGACCATATTGGGCGAAACATGATCGGCTGGCCCTTTCGAGCTTAAATGAGCCCACCTATTCCCTTGGGCCGACATGTGGCCGGCCCTCCCGAGATTCAATACATGCACCTAACTGTCGGCCTGTAGCAAAATCATATAGGCCGAAAAATGATCGGCTGGCCCATCCGAGATCAAATGCGCCCATCGCCTTGGGCCGATGTTACTGACCCGAAATCATATGCATGCAACCGTCGGCCCCTGCGAGATCATATATGTATATATTATTTTGGGCCGAAAACAATTAGCCGACCTTTCCGAGATGACATGTGTGGGCCGAAGAAAAACTTGTTGGGCCTATCTGTCAGGCCTGGTACCTGTGTCCCATGATAATCGGCCCACTCATCCTATCAATCTCACCTGGCCCACCCGCCAATATGGGTGCTGAATTATGTGTGGGCTCATCCGTGCTCAGTCATGCATGGGCCCACGCTGGATGGCCCGCCTAACTGGGTTGATTCTCAACCTTTGGCTGTCCGACTAAGTTGGGAAATGTTACTGAAGGGGCTCACGGCATTACACGTCGGTTCTACCCTAGAATATTCACCTATTCGGCTGATTATCCTAAAAAGTCCGTCTCTGCACATTTCGCACTCAACTCTTACTAATCTCCCATTTGAATAGGGTATTGATAGCAACGGTCAGAAACCTGGGTTGTTGCCCATGCCCTCGCTGCCTCATACCTAAAGACCGAATCCAGAACATGGGACGGGCCATGGATAGATGACAACGCGAGACCTTAGCTCGCAATGATGCGAGCAGGGCTACAATGGTGAAAACCGCGCGCCAGTTAATTTATAAGCAGGATCGTGCAGTTGGCAGTGTGGCAGTCGAACATATACTGAAAGAACAGTCTTGGGTACCAACATTAGTAAGTCTACAATGTCCGTTTCCCATCAAAACCCCAATAACTTTGCCTCAGAACTCCTTCTCAGACCGCCTTGGTCCATTGGGCTTCAATATCTTCTCTGCATTGGTCGTGGATTTGTTGCACGAGTTTGAGATTGGTGTATGGAAGTCGTTGTTCATTCACCTGTTGCGCATAATTGTGGCGCACGACAAAAGTCTTGTTCATGTCTTAGACAAACGGTTCGCTGTGTCATCGCCGACTATCACTTCGAACCTAACCTCTGTCCCTAGATACAGGGACACTCCGACGTTCGGCCAAGCGACCATCTGCAAGTTTGCAGCCAACTCTTTGGAGATGAAGAGAATGGCGGCTCGCAATTTCGAAGATCTCCTCCAGGTATAACCTCCTTGATGACATCAGACAATTACTAACTGAAGTAATGAAGTGTTCTATCCCTGTCTTCAATGGGCTCCTCCCCGAACCCCACAACACGACCATTCTCACGCTGTTATTTAACATGGTGCATTGGCACGGACTAGCCAAGCTCCGTATGCATTCAGATCTAACTTTAGAAATCATGGACCAAGTCACAATGGCAGTCGGCCATCAATTCCGCAAATTCGATGCACGTGTTTGTCCTGGATACGATACCCGCGAACTGTGTCAGGAAGTCGAAGCCCATACTCGACGTGCAGCTGCGATGCAAAAGGGTAAGCAGGCTGCTCATAACCACCCTGCTAAGCCTTCGCACCACCCGAAGGTGTTTAATTTTCGGACATACAAGTTCCACACCTTGGGGGACTATGTCAACACAATCCGCCGCTATGGGACATGTGACTCCTATAGTACTGAACCGGTCAGTCCTGTGACATATGACTTCCAGGTGGCACTGACTAGCTTCCTAGGGTGAACTTGAACATCGTTTGCCGAAGGCTCGATACTGTCGTATGGATCGCAAACTATTTGTCAAACAGCTCACTCGGATTGAGCGCCGTCAAGCCCAAATTCGCCGAATTGGTGACAGAGTGACTGAACGCCCTCACATTGAAATTACAGAATTAGCCACAAGTCCATGTATCCATCACCATATTGGATTATCACAGAAGGCCCCTGTACATATTGGCTCATATCTACGTCTCCATCAAGGAGACCCAGCTATCACGGTATGTGTTGTGTCGGTATATTTGATATCTTACACACCACCTCTATAGAACTTCGTCCCAAAACTCAAGACACACTTGTTACGTCGGATCAACACGACTCTTGTCACGGGCTGGGAGAAGAAACAGATATTAATACGGTCATATTGAAGGACGACCGCATGTATCATCACAACATTGCGAGGTTTAACTACACTTCGTACAATGTCCGAAGAGCTCAAGATGTTATAAATCCACGGACCTCACACTGCAATGTGATGGTTCTCTGGACTGAGGACGAGGTGCCTGTGGAATATCACGGTCACCGATTCATATATGGTAAGGTTATTGGAATATATCACGTCAATGTAATCTACATTGGAGCCGGCTTCGTGGATTACACTCCAATTCGAATGGAGTTTCTATGGGTCCGATGGTACGAGCTCATGGATCAGGTGTCATCTTGGGACACAGCAACACTTGACCAAGTTAGCTTTCCCTTGTTGATGGACGAGCACTCATTTGACTTTCTCAATCCTACGGATGTCCTGAGGGGCAGCCACATCATCCCTGCTTTCAACAGCTGCAAGAGGCACCCTGATGGATCCGGAATGTCAGCATTAGCGGGGGACAAGCATGATTGGCGCGCGTATTATATTAATTGGTATGTGTGGTCACACGACTCTTTACATGTGATGGAAAAGGCTCATCATTCTTAAGGTTTGTAGATCGTGACATGCTCATGCGTTTCCATTATGGCCTTGGGGTTGGACACGTGTACTCTCACCATCGTTCCTCGCTTCCCGAATCACAAGGCAGCCCTATCGCAGAAGAGGTCAAGAGTGATACTGAAGATGCCACAGACAGGGAATTTGAAGACGATGAAGATGATTTGCGATGTTTTGATCAAGACTTTAGCACAAGTCAGGAATCACTAGAATCTGCTTTTGATGGGATGTACGGTAGCGACTTAGAATTAGATTATGAAAACTAGCGCGCATACCCATCCGATGGCGCATTTCAATATTTATTATTTTACACGTAAAAGACGATCAATGGCACTTGAGCAGTGCCATCGATTGTGAATTCTATCAATGATACTGATGGCACAGGTTTATTTTCCTCAATCACACTAATGGGCCAGCGACGACCTAATTTGGCACACTATAAGTATCAAGGGCGCCATTCTCTCTTCTCGAACAACATGTCCATGTCCCTATTTGTTCCACTTCACAGCGCACATGGTTTGAGCCACGACTACTATATCTACGACGTGTCGATTGACACGGTAATCCATTC